GCGCCGTCTGCGTTGCACCCTCACCCTGCATATAGGGACTCTCAGTCTGGAGCATGCCTGCGTAGACATTCTGCGCGGAGTTGAAGTTGTAGTTGTACAACCAGTGATGTTCAGATCCCGTTCCAGTGAGCCAAGTCCCCTTAGTTGCGTCGACGAGGATGCCACGTCCGGTAGAGATGATCGTCTTCGACGATCCACCGTCGAGATTGTGGTCTGCGGTCCAGCCCCAGAAATTCTCAATATAGGCAGAGGACGACTTGGTGAGATGCATCACCATAAACGCCGCCTTGCACTGCGACGTGTCTTGGTTATCGCAGTTATCCTTGATACTCGTCTCGGCGGTGCCGCCTACGGTCACTATCGTATTCCACAATGCTACATCACCGGGTTTTGTGCCGGCGGCATTGACCTCGAGAATGATCGCGCCGGGGAGGATCTCACCCACGCTGAAACGCATGTTCTGTATCTCGATGACGCCCTTGTCGTTGGCTTGCCCGACCTGGACTACTGGCTTTGGGTTCGAGGCGTCCTTGAATGCATTGCCTGCTCCGGAAATCACGGCCCATGCCTCGCCCATGATGCGCGAGCCCACGGGGATCTTCAGTGTGTTCTTAACAGTGTACACTCCATATGGGAAGTATGTGATCTTGCAGTTGGCTGCGTTATCCGCTAAGATGGCATTGAGTGACTCCACGTCGTCTGTTGAGCCGTCGCCTTTGACTGGGTGGCCGCTCACGTTTTTGACGTTCACGACCTGGTCCGAGCCATACTCGGCGTAGGTAGGCTGGATGCGGGTGAAGTATTTGCCATTAGACAAGAGCGCGGCCGGTCTAGAGGTTGTGAGGCTCTTGCCTGACACGTACTGACCGGGGGTGATGTTACCCCACGCCCACGTGTCGATCTTGTCGGTAGCGGCAAGCTTCACGTTGTTGTTGTTGCTGTCGACCGCAATAGGATTGGTGGTGTCGTGAACGAGGTTTTGAATGATCAGCTGGCTGTTGCGGTTGCCGCTGTCGTTAGACGAGTCATGGAACTTCACCACGGTGCCCGAGTTGGTTGATTTGGAATCTAGCAGGACCATACTTCCAAGCCCGTTGCTGCTCATGTCAACGCCCAAACCGACAGTATCGAATGTCACGCCCTGGAGAAGAGCGGTATGGCCACCGGAAGCCTCGAAGGCAGTCGTACACTTTCTGAAGTAGATGTTCTTGAAGTTGACCTGCTGGTTGGAGTTCTTGATTCCGACGGCGCCACCAGTAATGTCGACATCCGTCACGGCGATCGTCGATCCAGCGTTGATGTGGATACCAGTGTGTCCGGTAGAGCTGGTAGGCATATTGATTTTGACATTGGTCAAGCCAGACCCCTGAGCCACACCCCATTGCAATGCAGTGATCTTGGTATCAGCGCTGAGAGCTGTGGTATCAATAACCACGTTTCGTAGGAGAGTCATGAAACTCGTCTCAGGCGGGCCATTCTTGCTGTCGTATCCATTGACCACCGTATCACCGTTGAAGCCGGCTGCCGCCTTGAGGACTGGTGGATTCAGCGGATCACCGGTGATCACAGTCCCGACACGCAAATTCAAAGTGCTCCTAAGCTGGTACGTTCCACCGGGGAGAAAGACTTCCGCCGGGTACCTAGTGACACCCTTACTCTCCCGGCTGCCATTCGATCCATCGTTGTTGATCGCATTCTGAATGCTGCTGGTTTGGTCGCCAGATCCGTCGGCCGAGGCGGAATAATCCTTGACATTGCGCCACACGGGGTAATTGGCGTTGGCGACTTCGGGGGCATATCCTCGGGCATTTCCAGTGTGATCCTGATTCAGAAGCCAGTAGGTCGAAGGGGAGGAAGCGGTGGGCCCGCTGCAGGCTCTTGCGCGGATCTCTCTGTATAGATCTGTCAGCGTAGTTGGTAATAGTCCAGGCATAGAACTTACCCGCCAGAAGTTGAATGAATAGCAACTGCCGAGGCTGGAGAAAGCACACTCGCCACGGCAGTCAACCAAAGAAGATCACGCATGATCAAGGAAAGTAACAACCAATATCACACAACTGAAGTATGTACCAAAAGAGCGTATATAAAAGGGAAAAGAAGGGAATGTATGTGAATTAGAAGCCAGACAATGGCCTCCATATAAATACCCACGCAGACAAGTTCAAAACAAGCCATTGCTACACTCGCACTCGATAGCCCGTTATGCACTTTCCATTTTCCCATTGTGGTTAGATGTCAGACAGCTGAAGGGGATCGACAGCAACGTGGGGCAAGACGTGAATGGAGCACGACTGAAGGACTGTGGGGGCCGAAACCCGATCGGGGAACTGGTATTCGACTTGAATCATCGTTCTCGAATCAGAGATTGACCAGGGTGACTGGTGTGATTGAAGGTGCGTGAGATAAATTGGAGAACCCTGGACATCCTACATACCCCTGAATGGATCCCGATGTCACCCTGGGCCGGATGGCTGAGCAATTGTTTGCGTCTCCACTTCGGAATTTGCCTATACTGTGCCAGTGTCCGGCCCCTAGTTTTTCTTTTGGTAGTGTCCAGCGTTGAACATGAGTCCAAGAATTGTAAAGGTCGGGGAAGAAATGAGGTCTCGCCGTCGTGAAATGGTGCCTGAGGTCCCAGTATCAATCAACAATGAGAATGCGTCTTTATTTACCAGGCCATGAAGTCATGTCCTTGCAAACCTTGAAGAATTTAGCCTATACGATTGCTGGATGTATACTGTGCATGACATACCAATGTTCTTTTGGCCCGAATCAACCTGCCGCCATATCAAATCCAAAATATCCATTGCATTGATCATATTGTAATTGTACATTTTTCGATGGAAGCGTACAAGAAATGATTGAACAATTGTCCGATCCGCCCCAAAGGCATAGCGCCCGGCGATAAAGAGAGCGGTGTTCACTCCTAGGACAGGCGAAAGGCCTGATGGAGGCTCAAGCTGTTGAACAAGATGGATGATCATCTTCACTGGCTGCTGTACTTCCATAGCCTCGGAATCAAGTCTCATAATCTGTGTGCGAATGTGGATCAATGCGGTATATTCGAGCAATAGGTTGCAATAAGCGAATTCAAGGGCTTGCTTTTCGTCCAATGTCTCCTGGAGGCTCGGGGAGAAGCATGGCCGAGTACTCTTATCTCGTTCTATCATTTCCAAAAGCCGGCTCTCAAGATTGGCTGCTTGAACCTCGAAGTCTGGATCAGAAAGTGGGACAAAGTTATAAGAGTCGTGCTCTCTCTGTCGTCGCTCCCGCGCAACAGCGCCTATTTGGTGAAATATCTCAAATATTTCGGGATAACAACCGGCATAATCATCAAAGAAAACCCGGCTCGGCTGTGACGAAGTTTCGGAAGACTCATAACTTAAGTCCCCTGCTGGAAACCCGTCCGGAGTCAAGCTTGCAACCATCTCAAGTAATGAGTAACGCCTTCGTAGAAAAGAAATTGATGGATCTAAATTGGTCGAGTCAGACTGCGCAGCATAAATAGCAGACATGATAGCTCTTGCCCCCTGAAGATGTACCCTCCAGGAATTGTATTCCTCGTTTTCATGGCATAAAGTACCCAAGCACAGGATCAAACAAGTTGCAAAGAGGGTTTCCAGCCGGCTATACCCTGAAACAATCTCTTGACGAAGCTGACCTATACTTTTATTTCTCAGACTCGCCGCGTGCCATTTCAAGCTACCGCGCGAGCTCTCAGAATCTGTCTGACTTGCTTTGTGAGCAGATGAGAAAGCAAAGATTGCATGACGGAGTGCAGGGTCTTCAAATGCCATAGGAAGAAGAACACGGCATGTCTCGTTTTGCATCTGCTTGTGACAGGACATCGTCCCAGATGCCGTAGAGACAAAGTAATGCCAAAGCTGCTGTAAGTCGGCATCGAGATCAGGTGGAAGTCCAGAGAGGGACCGAGTTAAATAAAGATGAGAACGTGGCTGTTCTGAAGTCTGCGAGGCCACGCTCGCAGGGGTCGTTATCACCTCCGCTGAATACACGAAAGCTCCGTCTGTGGGACCTGGTTAGAACAAGAAACAGAGACAGGCGCAGAAGGTTGGCATACTGATCATTTGCACTGGACAAATGCCAAAGCGAGATAGACCGAAGGCTCGTCCTCCCCATTTGAGATTGAGGCGGTAAACACAGCTCTCTCCAGCTCTACGGCATCGGCCACAATCTGGTCGTGCCTCGTCGCACTTTTGCCTTCGACGTTTGCAGCGCTCACAGCCCGCCCGCGAGCGTAACTGTGTAGAAGGGTTCTCCATTGATGTGGGATAACGCTGAGTCGCCAACCCCGCAAGACGTATGTTCCCGTGTTGCTGCCTCAGGCCGACAAATATATTCTGTACATTGGGACTATACATCTGAAACAGGATCAAGAACGTCTTCTCTTTGTTTTTGTGCTTGTTCCTCACTTATATTCTCCAGCTAGTAACTTATCGTAAGGTCTACGTTCCACAAATCTCGCATCTCTGGGGGGATGCTGGTGGATTTGTACGCAAACTCTTCTTCGAGCCAGACACCAGATACCAGTCAATCCATTCCTCAAAACTTTCATGCTTGGTGTATACTTCTTGAAATCGTAGAAGTGGGGGTATGTATTGGCCTAGCATCAATTCGTGCTTATTGAAGCACTCCTCATCTGGACCTCCATTGAAATAAATGTGCCCAAAATCCGATAAAAACGACATGCGAAGGGTTCAGCTGCACGTAGGATTAGACACCGTATTCGGTGAGCCCGTTGTCGAACCCAGTCCAAGCTGGTAGCGTTCTAAGAAACATTAGGACATTGCCTTTAACCCACCTTGACGTGAGTATATCGTCATACTGGTTTCGCTCTTATCCGCCTTTTCCACTAATGGAAAAGAGAAGATTTCTGTGATTGAAGAATGTTCATTGATGCGATATTCGTACAATGTAAAGTCACTCTTATAGCATGCACATTTGGTATCGTTCCCACCGGAATTCAGCACACCATAAGATCATGAGAGCCCGGCTGCAAGTTTCAAGAATTCCAGTTTCTCCTTATGCCTCTCCTTCCTTGACTCTTCCTGGTTCTTCTTCTCTTGCTCCAGCTTTGCCTGGAGCTTCGCGATCTCCCGTTCCAGAGCACGAATCTTCTCCTGGCCCCGAACTTCCGCTGACCACATATCCCACAATTTCTGATTCCTGATACACCAAATCAAGATATCGCGCGTGGCCATGGTGTCTTCAAAGGCACTGTGACCTTGTTTCCCGGCCTGGATATCATAACCAGCCAGCTCCTTGGTGAGAGTTTTCAAGCTCCATGTGCGCGACAGGGCCTGGCCCGGAAGTAAATCATTGAAGACAGCCTCGCTGGTGAGGATAGAAGTGTCGACGATTTTGGGGTGTATGATGCCCAAGACGTCGAGATCGTTGTTCAGGGAATGGCCGATCAGCACTGTTTCAGTATCCACGAATCTCCATAACATCTCGCGCGCTTTGGAGTACCCAAGCAATGCTTGTCCATTCCGGACTGCCTTGTTCATGGCACTACAAGTCACACCGCTGTATCGAGAGTCCCAGTGGACAACCTTGGCGGTTGGTTGCACATAGTGGTCCAAGAGCACTTCGCCCGAGAGAAAGTCGACAGCGGTCACATAAGCGAGTTCCCGACGCCCGTTGGCGACTTGTACCATCTCACAATCGAGAACAACCGCTTTTCTCTCTGTTCCTTTGCCCGCGTGAGCTACAGGCGTGTGACGGAAGAGTGCGTTCGGAATAGATGGGCGTTTCCTCTTATCTTCTGCGACGATCCCGACGGTATAACCTTGTGCCTGAAGGCGAGCCTTTCCATGGCATTGTGCCTGTAGGTACCGCAGGCTCAAAACTCGTTCTTCCGCCCCAAGAATCGCATGTTGACTTATCCTTTGGAGAGCGAGGGGCTGCAAGGCGAGGGCTTCAAGCTGTAATTTCAAATCCTGCAGCTCGGAGGTATGGTTTGGTTCCGCGGCGTCCATCGGCCCCGTCGTCAAATCCACAGGCGACAATGGTTCTGTGGATACCGGGAGAACCACCACTTCACCCACCGCCACCACTTCAGTCACTGCATAAAGAACTGGCTCCAAGGTTGGCCCAGCAGATAGGGGGTTAGGGGTCTCTTTTGGAGCCCGCTTTCGGCTTGATCTCGGTGGGGTTGACATGACGGACGGAGACCTCGAAGGGTTGTTCATCTTTTGACGAGACTGTTGATGCTTCTGGGCATGTTGAAGCAAGCTCCAGACGTTCGTGAAATCCCTTTGACACGGGTTGCAAAAGATCTTGTGATCCTTCGCCTCAAAATGGATCTTCACAGCTTTGAGGCTTTTGAAGCCATCCCTCTGGCATCCAGGGCAGAAAAATACAGTGCCAGCCATGTGAGCGCCCACTGAGGAAATCGGAAAAAAAGATCAAGCGTCTGTGAACAAAGCGAGTAGGATGCGTAGACTGCCCTAAGGCGTGGCAGGTGAGGATTGGCGGGTATCTGCGAGGGCGCGTTTCGGTACGCGTCGGGCTGAAGGGCTAAAATCAACAATTGAGCCTACTTCTCAGCTTCCTTCAAAAAGGACAAATGAGAAATAGAAATGCATGATAGCTTTTAAAATTTCATTGTCAGATAAGATTTGGATCGATTTTGCCCACTTCCACCTGATACAGTGCAGCCTAATTATTTTCCCCTCCAAATCAATACGATTACTGAATATTGTTCAGTTGTATACGCTCGACTTCCACTTTCTATTTGATTCTCCAATCCTAATCTACCCCTGTAGTTTCGTTGCCACTGATGTCTATCGTCCCTTTTTCGTATGCCCATTTCCTAAACCAAAAGTAAAAATAGGGGTTCCGCCAGTAATTTCACAGGTTCACAACCTAGGTATCAGAGATGAAAACTAAGGCTAAGGAAACCAAGCACAGTACCAAAATCAAGAATTTAATAGACTCTAACTTCGCTTGCAGGTTTATTTAGGTCATGATTCTAATTAGGCGTACAGTTCAACTACTGTATTTCCTAAATAATTCATGGACGACATTTAGTAGCCACAATCTTGGCCGGATCTTGGCGTCCAAGTATAAGCATATCCTAATGTTATATCTTGCCTAAAACATGAAGCTGAGAAAGCGATTGACTCAGACCAAGAGCAAACGGAATGCCTAAGATGTCTTACGTCTACGACAAATAAGTACATTTTGCCTGTAATACGTGTTCAGACGTAGTCATCCAGGCTACCGCTAATCTCTATCGACTCGGCTATCTTGTATTTACATGCCTCTTTGTCCTAGCTAAACCTGTGTCAACAGTATTTGAGCAAGAAACGGTCTGGCGGGTAGCTCATACGTTTCTGCGACTGTTTTGAATTGGGATGTCGATGCCCACGGTGTAATGCAGATAGGATGCTTGAGATCTACCCAATCAGACAGGTGAGCATCCTCCTCTTATTTGTGGTTGGTAGAACAACACTGAACGGGCTCATTCGCCATGGAGGGCTTCACTGAAGAACAATCACTGCGGGTGAGCTTGACCAGTAACTGCTTTAGTCTATCCATGTCGGGTCCTAACGGGGAATGGCACTGAAGGATAGGAGTGTTTAGAGCTTCTCGGTTAGGGATCGGAGGAGTCCTTTCCCAGCTCAAGGGCACCAATGCCGGGGCGGCAGCAGGGCCGGAGCACCGATCCTAGGAACAGATTGTCATGTTCTTTTCCTTCCGGCTATTAGATCAAGAATCGAGGTACACGAACCCAGAACGCGAATGTCTGGCAGTGGTGAAATGTCTTGCCGGGGTCCGATGGATGGTTATGGGCAGCCCACACCCTATCATGATATACTCCGATCATAGCGCCTTGAAAACCATTCTCTCGAAAGGGTCTGAAGGGAACACTCGAATGATCCAAAAATGGGAGAGTCGACTTAGCGAGTACGACTTCATCATACCATAGACCTAACACGGATCCGATGATTGGTCTTGCTGACGGACTGAGCCGAATGCCCACCCGATTGACAACAATATCAACTGCTGAGGATCATATTCCTGACAGTCAGGCTCATGAAACGCGGGATCCAATTGTGGAAGAATTCCAAGAGCAAGGGTCTCCAATTCCCTTGCTGAGTCATGGATGGGACGGTGCAGATCCCTCGCACCACTACCGAAAATCGCCAATGTACCGAGGAGTTGTGGAAACCCTGAGGGAAGAAGCCTCTGCCTTAAACGAGATGCCTCGCGCTCTTCGAATGACCGCACGGAGGAAGGCGGATCGGATGAGGATCCATCCCCATAAGCCCGGTCTCCTGCTTTATCGTGAGAAAAACGGAGTGTGGACGCCCTGTCTGGTCGAAAGTGAGATCGAAGCCGCACTTTCTGGGTTCCACGACGATCATGGGCATTTCTCTGCCGCTTTTGACCCTGAATCGTATGCTTGGGCAAGTGTACTGGCCAAGGAGGGCGGGTTGACATGAAGACATGGGCCGAGTCTTGTGACACTTGCCAACGATTTGCTCGAAGAAATCCAGCTGGGCCTCACCGGCGAATCCAGGAATTCGAACCAATGAACATGATCGGTATGGACTTCTTGGGTCCGATCCAGCCTACGTGTGAAACGGGAGCCAGGTATATCCTCGTGGTCATCGATTATTTCTCCCGATTTGTCTGGACTGCAACTTGCTCCCGAGCCAACGATGATCTCGTGGCATCCACTTTGAAGAAGGCGTGTTATGCAAAACCGCGAAGCATCCGTCGATGGAGCCAGGTGCTTCGAGAGGCTTCACCTTCTATGAACACTAGGCTAGTTCGCGTCCACGGATATACGCCGGCAGAGCTGTTGCTTGGGTTTAATCCCCGAACAAGACTATACGACACTGGCATTATTTATCTGGCTACTCTCGAGGAATGGCAATCCTCGGATCCGGCGCCCGAGCACCTTCTACGCCTATATAATATGTATCGTGGTGAGCGCCGACAGGCTGGATCCGAAGCAGTGGCTTTGGCGAACGCCTTGGCCCTGGAGAAATAAAATCAGAAGTCAAATGCTCACCGGGATAAGTTCAATGACGGTGACCTAGTATTGGTCCAAGACTTCGGAACTGTGGGAAAGATGCAACCTAAATGGCTGGGACCGAGATTTCTGATTCGCTTAAACCCCGGTGGCCTGACGGGTCAGGTCCGGAGGTTGTACGGGGAAACGTCGTCGAAATACCATCTTGATCACCTTCGACTGTACCACAAACGCAATGCCGATGACCGACATTTCGATCTTCAACTCCCGATCAACAGGGATCCCGAAATCCAATCTCCCACACCTGTGTACTATGTAACGAGGAACGCTATGTCCAAGGCCTTGCTCCTCGGACAACGGAGTTTTGACCTTCGGTGGTCATGATTCCTAAGAAAAGGCTCATGGGCGGGCCGAGAAGACCTTCGGTATCTTCCTCTTGACTGAGGAGGATGGTGGGAAATGCCAGGCTACAACCTGCAAATCGATGGACTCGAAGGGAGAAACAAGGACCAAGAAACTACATGCGATAAAAGCAGCGAATGGGGAGGCTCGTTGCTGGGTATATCTGTTAAATGAGATTGGGGATTCACGTCCCTGGAAGTGAAATCGGTCCTTATTATTTTCAGGCTTATTCAATTTTCTCTTTGTTTAATTTTTTCTTTCTATCTCTCGCTCTCTTCCCCACGTACTCTCCTTTGTATCCCTCCACCACGTCTCACCTGTTTAAAACTTCTTTCTTTTCTCTTTCTTACCACGCATCGAGGAAACCCGTCCTTCATCACTCACTTGCTGAATCTAACCCCACGCGAGCAAGATGGGTTCTAAGAGAAGAAGATCCGTCAGCACGGGAGGATCTCGCAAGAAGCCAAAAGCCGCGGAACTCCCCAGGGCTCCTACTCCTCAAGGGACACTTAACCCAAGCCCTTCTTCGGGACCCCAGGTCGAGTCGGGTTCCCCTACCGTGCCGATTCATCCCGTTGGTCCTCAAGACCGATCCATTTTCTTCATAAGTGGTCGAAAGGGCGAGCAAGCCCAACAAACCATGGACGACATTCTCGAAACCCAGCGAGACTCGCCCTCCGCTCCTACCCCGCAATACGACTCGCGAACTAGGAGAGCCCATCAAAATCGGGAAGGACTTCAAGCGCCACCGATGAACGTGAAGACTCGCCTACAAGTTCAAAAGGAGCTCGAGGCTGCGCAAGCTGAAGCGAGGGCCGAAAGAGAGCGTGCTACGGCCGCTGCCGAAACAGAAAGTTCTTCGAACTGGAAACCAGGCCGTCGAGCTATCGATGACCTTCTCGATCCCTTGCCCCTTACTCCGGCGGAAATGGAGGCCCAAGCTGAGTACCGGGTACTCCATCCCTCGGCCAACATTTTACCTCGATCTATTTTCGGCATGCATCCCTTTGGTCCAAACCAAGACGGATTGCCTGTGGGAACGCTCCGAACCGACGACATTTATGCTGATCCAGACTGCTCTGCCGAAGAGAAAATGACGTATCGTCGAGTGGTGTGTGTGAACCTGGATAACAGTGCAACTGTTCGTTGGGGCGCGACGGACTACAACATTCATGGGATGCCCCCACCAAGAGGTTCCGTCGGAGATGAAACAAAGAAGAAGTCCAAGAAAGTGGAAGTCACGAACAAGGTCGATTTCTTCGAAGAATATGAATGGGAGTTTCGCACGTGGACCCTTCACAACAAGCTCTTGTGGGCCCGCAAAGAGAAAATCTACAACTGGATGGATTCTATTTGGCATATGGAATGGGCAACAGGATGGGGATCCGCTAAAGAAATGACGAACGACAATGGGCAACGAGAACAGTGGATCCGAAGAAGTGCGAGGATCAGGAATGACAGCTACACAATTCCTTTCTTCACGGATGAACAAATGGGAGACGACCCAGACAAGAAGAGGCTGAAGTTGATCGACCGGATGGATGGAGCCCAATTCAAGTTTCTACCGGACATTGCAGAGTCAAACAAGAGGGCCTTACAGAACAAGACTTTCGGATCATGGACTCACCTTCAGGAAAGAGCCTTCCACTTCAAGAGGACTGCGGAGTACATGCAAGCTATCTGCAGCGAGTTCGACCTTCGTTATGGCTCGACAAGTTTCAATCTTCGGACGGTGCAGTCATACACTCGAGCAGGAGGCGATCCTAAGAAAAGTCTCCAAAAGCTGGTTTCCCCGAATCTACTCCAGGAACCCCGAACCCAACAAATCCTAGGCGTCCTCAGCAACCCGATCAAGCTAGAAGGAAACAATGTTGCAATGAGCTTTACCCGGAAAGACGAAATGGCGAAACAAAAGATTCTGACCAACCTAGAGACAGCTCAACTCCCACGTTCGGATGCCGAGAACGACATTCGTTGGAGAGATAGAAATCGACTATCTCGCGTGCTAGGTCCCGCTGTCGGACGAGTTGTCCTAAGATCAGGGTACTTGCCTACAACAAAAGAAGAGGACCAGGAAGGCGACGAAACATCTATGCAACAGGACTCGGAAGACAATGGTCATGAAGGCGAAGTCTCTAATCATTCCGAAGAAGAAGCCCAGAGCGAAGAGCGTGTTATCCTACTCTCTGACACCGAAGAAGGCCCGGTCTCGACTGATGAGGAAGATAGTTCAGAGTATGAGCCCCATCCTGCGTTTGAAGAACTGCGAATCTCTCCCATCCGTGGTTTCGATCCAGCAAATGTCACTCCGGAAACTTCGGACTGGCTTGCGTACCATGAAGTCAAGGGTATCGGTCTCCAGGAATACGAATGGTTGCGAGCTCAAGGAGTCACAGCCCAAGTCGCCGCCTTCCGGCTGGACAGCAACCAAGCAGGACGGGAAATTACCGAACTGAACCGTGAAGAGAGCATTCGCCAACACAACCAAGTCCATGCGATTCTCGAAAACGACAAAGATGCTTCCTCACCCGGTCGTCGTGACACCATTCGCGAAGGGAAGAAGCCAGCCAAACCAACATCACCCACATTGAGCCACCGCAAGGCCGAGACCTCCAAATCCGCAAAGGGCATCAACCCCAACACGGTCGAAACTCCTAAACCTCCGCCTTCGGCCGGACACTCTGCACTGGAAACGTCACCTTCGGACCCTCACCTAGAATCCTCTCAAATCGGTAGCATTCTAGGATCGCTCATAGATCGCCAAGATCAGCAAGACATGGCGATTCGTTCCATCAAGGACCTTCTTGAGGGCCATTTCAGGAACTCCTAGATTGAGAAAAACGACTTTCAACCCGGCCCTTCTCTCGGTGTTTGCTTGGGCGGGTCGGCCATGTCTGAAAGGGGGTCCGAAGAAAGGGGGTCACGTGGACAGCTCAAGGGTCCTTTGTTTTGTATTCTTAACTTCTGTGAACTCTCTATGAGCATTAATCCATCCATTGTTTCCCTGCTTCATCATTTCATCAAGAGTAACCCTTGAATCATCAGTTCAGTCGCCCAGGAAGACAATCCCGAGGACTGAGTCGAGTGGATAGGAAGGGGACAAGGGATCGGAGGTCAGGTGACCAGCCATCCGGCCTTTTCATCTCTCGACAGGCCTGACTACTTTTCCCCCGTCACCTAGTAATTATATAATCCTTGCTTACCGAGCTGCGAAATGCTATCCGGGGAATTGGGTTAAGCGACTTCAGGGAGTATACTCGAATGCGGGAGTGATGTCATTTGCGTTGTGCGGGAGGAGCGAAGAAGTAGTTTCCTTATAGAATAAAAGAACGCTTAAGCAGGAACATTGTATTGTAGCGAACTTGTAGATATCATCATTCTGATCTTTACCTGACGTTAGTATCTATGCTCGTCATGGCTAGCCGCACTCTGAAAAGAAAATGGACCGAGATCATGGATAGCCAATCAGCGTTCCAGGTCCCTTCAAACAGTCCCAAGGCTGCCCTACATTCGACGTTAGCCCCACCCACCGAAAGACAAGGCACCGAACATACACCCAGGAAGGACGTTCATGGCAAGGACTTGAACACAGAAGAAACCATGGATCTAGCGATGCCATCGATGTCCAATATCGAACAAGACCCCGTGTATGAATCAGATTCCGAGGAAGAAGATGGCCAGAAAGTTGTGGAACGTCGTTGGCCGCGGAGCAATCTGAAGCTGGAGAAGCACGGCTTTCGTCCAGTCTGGACATCGTGGGATGGGTACCCTGGTGAAGTTCCTGATGATATCGGAGAGTACCTGGACGACGATGGGAAGTGCAGTAAGTTCGATCTTGGCTTAGCGTTGCAGGAATCCAACTAATCTATATAGAACCCGCCCAGCTCATCGGTCCCCTTCGGAGTATTGCATGGCTTGCTGGCCTAGATGAGTTAGTTGAGGCCATCGATCATCCAGCCTTTGTTATCCAAGACCAGATCGAGCTTGTTCCGTATTGGGGTGCAGGAATCGAGTACCCGGTCTATCGTCACATCGACGAGGGGCAGATTCCACCTCGAATTTCGGACTTGCTTGACTATTATCAAACCAAAAGTACTCCCATGGCCAAAGCCAGCACGCCGCCGGCTGTTAAGACCACATCTACATCCAATCGCCTGGTCGACCTCTACGCCACAAGTCGTTTGACTCCTTCCTCCACCGTGAAGTGCTTTAAAGTTTCATGGGACAAGAATCCTGTTAGACTATGCAACAAGATCCGACAACTAGCTAGCCCGGGTCTAGACTCAGCTAGGTTGTGGTTCCGCGGACTGACTCTCGAGGCCTTGGAATCGACACTCGCGTTCTTCATTCCAGTTCGTAGCAAGCAGAACCACGACAACGAGTTTGGTCCTGGCTTCTATACAACGGATAGCTTGGAGTATTCGTGTGTATATGCGGGAACCGCAGGCGCAATCATGGTTTTTCGCGATCCCGATCTCCATACCACTCAAGTTTGGCATCCAAGTCTCGAGGAATGGTCTTCCTGGGTAGCTCGGTGGTTAAAACTACCTCTTGCTACTGCGAATGTGACAGTACCTCCACAGTACCTTACTGCCGATTTTATCAAGGGTGCAATTCGAGGAAAATCAGCTTCCCCCAGAGTTCTTCCTAGACAGTCAGAGGATGAACAGTTGGTCGCAGTAAGCTATCACGGCTGTGAAGTTCTGTCTAAGAGTTTGATTATGATTATTTTTGTTGAAAGGGAATAGCTAGCGCTCCCAGGTCCATTCATTGTTTCATTCTTAGCTATTCATTCTCATGCAATGTAAACCAATAAGCCCTGTGCATAATCCAAACTTTGCTCGCCATGAAAGATGATCCTTTCGCTTAGTTCGCGGCGAAAATGTCCATCTACTCTTTGTTGTAGTCGCGGCATTCTTGAGAGGGTAACAGCTAATATTGCCAGTAACAGAAAAGGCCGTTCTTTTGCTAGCAAGGTTACTGAGGCATCTTCAGGGACTCCTATAAAGGGGAAGTATGCTCTTCGATGTCGGAATTGCGATATCAGCTTTTCTGCTTTAGCCCATGGTAATATTTCTATCTAGGAATACACAGTGCGATGGCTTTGCCAATGCCTTTGGAGGCTCCGGCGACGACTATAACGAGGTCTGTGATGGACATCTTGGCTGAAAGGCCGAATGCAGGCGAATGTCAAGGAGCAGTGATAGTGCGAGAGCATGCCGTAGGTTTCAGGAAATAATTTCCGTTTTATATTCTCCTTGCGGACATTACTCTTTAGCAGTGCGCCCGAGTCACTGCATTTATTGGTGTGAGGATAAACATCGAGGACTAACAATATCTCCCCGCCCCGCGCATCTAACAGTGGCACCACGGGCTGCAGGCAGACCGAACGGCCGATGGACCGAGTCATTCACCGTCGGCTGGTTTTGCATCCTACCGATCGACATGTAATCTAGCCAAGTAGGATACCCCGCAAATTTAAAGATATGGCTAGGCTGAGGAGTGCAGCTTGCCAAGCGAATTTCAGTTTGCGTCCGACTAAGCAGAGCCAGAATCCGCTTAAACCCGTCCAAAACCCGATATTACATGGTCGGAACAAATTGGGCCAGAAAAAATGAAGGACCGTTGCGCTTTTTCTTCACTGCGGTTCGGTCTCCGATGTGCCAAACACACGGGCTCTAATACCACTATGTCAGTAGCGGCTACTACTGCTGCGACGCAGAACCAGCTGCGATCAATATAAATACAGTCCTTCACGCAACCAGTAGACGTGGACGGCCTTTCAACGCCTGGCCTGTTTTGATTCCATTTCACTTTACTTTCCAATTGCCTGCAGCAGACAGAAATGATGTTCGAAAATTTGCCGATGTATCAATCACACTGCGTCCCCTTGGTCAGGACTTGCGAGGGAAAACTGTAATCGTGATGCACAGCCCCCTTTTACTTGCGTTTCTATGGTAACAGTAAGCCCACTGGAATTTTAATATTGGGAGCGCGGTAGATATGTAAATGGGAGTATGAATTGATTACAAAGAAGCGCGAAGCCGACCTTGCCCCACATGGCCGGCGCGTAAATCTCCCGAGTTATATTCAATTGGATCGCCGAACCCTACAACGATCAACATCTACGTCTCACACATTTCCCAGCACGGTCATCGGACGTTGGGCGATGAGACCAAAGGCGTAATTTACCTTTCGAGCTAGGAGACGAAAAGTTCGTCAATGAAGTTTACCTTTCCGCATATTGGGAGTTTATCCGAAAATCCCTCTTAATACAGATACTATTGTCTTTCGCACTGAACACGCGCGAGCGCGCTGCTGCCCTAAAAAGATGAAAAGATGAGGTAGGAAAGTGCAAAGTCAAATTTCTTGAGGTTTGATTGAACATTCAAAGTAAGTTAATTAAGATAAGACTAACTTAGTTTTTTAAATTATGTATTTTTGTAAACTCAATACAACTGGCACCTCTACATCTCGCGGATTTTCCGCCTCTTTGGCATTCTGGTTCTTATAAATCTGCTTATAAATATAGGCATCTTATTCTAGCGAATTCTATGTACAGACCACATCACCAAACCGCGGAACAGCCGGTTCATCATACCTCCTATTGTATGAGATGACCAATCTCGGGATCGGCGAGGTGCGCTCGCCCCGACGTTCAGAGCGGTGCTAAGTTACCGTGGGTATATATGTCGCGACGATGGATCTGAGAAAATACCAGGTAAGGCAACCAAACCACCGCGTTCTGGATTTCCTATCTTGCTTCTATTGCACTCTTTTCGAAATCCTTCGTAACCCACAATGGCGACAATGAAAGCATGGCAATTTCGGTCTTTAGGTGGCCCAGTCGAGAAGAACCTTTTCCTGCCCGATTCAGGAATTCCTAAACCGAAAACCACAGCGAACGAGGTACTTGTTGAGGTCTACAGCACGGCGCTCAATCCCATTGACTACAAGATTCTTGAACTTGGTCTCCTTACAAAGATGATATTCCGGTCACCTGTTACGCCTGGCTTGGACGTCTGTGGTCGTGTTGTTGAGATCGGTAGTCAGGTGGATTCCTTTCGCATTGGCGATATCGTATACGGCTCATGCAATGGGGTTTTTGGGCATGGAGCTCTTGCCCAATTTGTCCCTATCTCTAAAGATGCACTTGCTTTGGTACCGGATGGGTTCAAAGCCGACGACATGGTCTCCATCGCTACCGTTGGGATGACAACATACCAAGGCTTAAAACCACATGTTAAAGCAGGCGACAAAGTATTCATCAATGGTGGATCTGGAGGCACCGGTGTGGTGTCGATACAAATTGCGAAGGCGCTTGGATGTCACGTCACGACGTCTTGCTCCGCAGCCAATGTAGGACTGTGCAAGAGTCTAGGCGCGGATGAGGTTTTGGACTACCAATCGGCCGGAATAATCGAGCAATTAAATGGAAAGGGGCAAATTTTCGATCTGATCCTCGACAATGTAGGATCCCCGTCCAACTTGTACAGAGTGTCTCACGCATTTATTGTACCGGGCGGCAAGTTTATCCAAGTCGGTATGGGAATGAGTCTGAGCGCCATGAAACAGCTTATCGGCAATTTGATGCTCCCTGGCTTTCTTGGAGGCGGAAAAAGAAAGTACCTATTTGTCATGGCAAAGGCTAATAGCGCCGACTTCGACCAGCTCGCGGCGTGGATGAAAGAAGGAAAGATACATGCCGTCATTGACTCGACTTTCGACTTCAATGCCACGCCGAAAGCGTTTGAGAGGCTGAAAATGGGTAGAGCGAGAGGCAAGGTCGTGGTCCACGTGAAGGAGTCGTGAGGCAATTTGTGACGGATCTGACTTCAGAACTATTGGTTATCGAACCGGGGGAATCGATGTTACATCTTTTTTTGGCTTTTGTACCTGGAACTGGGCATTCTGTGCGTTTCTGATATGATTGTAATCAACAAACGAAGTACGACATGATACAGCTCTGACCACCTGTAAAATTCAATGCACTTCCTCAAATACTTGTCTGGCTTTGCAGCAACGCGATTACTGCTGTGGTCTGGGAGTATCCTTTTACTATTGTAGATTCTTTCTGTAATAACCTACTTTCTAAGTATCGATCTAGATTTTTCATGGATCGCCCTTCGAAGTGATGGGGTACTCTACCCCAGAAAACAAACTGTTGTGATATGCGGCAGTTGCTGCTCATGAACGAAGCCGCAACCTCAGAAATAAACTCCTGCGCTATCTACATGAAGTCCAAGTTGATTTCATACTGTATATATAGCCACTTGTATACCTTAAGAAATCAGAACAATCCAAGATTCCTTTAATTTAAAACACGGAGGGCATCTACAATCCTTATAGATTTTCCTTCTGGCTGTGTAAGTGTCTGTCGACATGAATGTTTGCGAGGGAACCATTGTTGTAATACCGTAATATCGTGTAGAGCCTGTCCAAATTTTTGATGCAAACAGAACAGACAAAGAATTCTAACAGTCTGGCAGAATCCATACGTCCACTCTCTCGCATTTTGATCTACTCCTTACATGCAACCTTCAGCTATACTCGATTGACGTCTCTTAGGAAGCTGCAGTGGCGTCATAGAGAACCACGCTCAGTAGGCTAACCAGATCCCATTGGGCACTGGATCGAGAACGTGAAGAATATCGCCGCCTCCAGGTGCAATAATACCACTAAGTCACTAAAATTCTGACAGTATTATCCGGCGCAACAAATGGATTTTCAAAGCGGATAGCCATGTGCTAGAACAAGGAGTCATGATAAGATCTCTAGCGCTCCTTATAGGGTAATCCGATACTATACTAACATCGGTCAACCTTGGTAGAGAATCGAAGAATTGCCGACAGGAGACACACATATTATGCTCTCTAATACATGGGGGTTCAAATATTCTTACCCACTCCACTTTTTTCGGGTCCCCTCTCAAAATATATATATCACTTACACAGTATATAGCACCACCATTTTATAGTCTATAATAATATAATTAAATTTCAGGGTTGCTTAACAATAGTACTTTGGAAAATTCACTTAATATTTTGTGTAATACCCCTTAGCCTTCCGCACTGCCTTCAAACGTCTTCCTATGCTCAATATTAGCGCATCTATCTATCTTTGCCTGATCTAATACCTTCTAAGCTTCCACTAGGCATTTTTAAAAATAAATCTAGTCTGCCTCCGATCTTCCTTGGCTAATAAGCTCTAGAAATATCGCAAAAAGCTTTAATCTTAACCAACGCTAGACCCGTTTAATTCGGGTTAAATCGGGTAAGTGCGCGGGGTAGTCTTCGACGTATACTCTGTGAGTTTAAACCACTCTTACGTGTCCACGGCGCATAGCTTCCTGGAAGATATTGACATCATTCACTAGCTTTTAGTCTCTGTAATGCTCTCCAAAGTCAACATTCCATGCTTGTTCCTTTAACCACAACTATTGCAAACACATTCGCAATGTCGACAACTCGATATAACATACCAATTCCCGAATCGCTTACGATTTTGGAACCCCGCCAAGAGCTTAACGATATGGAAGGAAATACTCATTAGGCTCTCTGGCTGGAAGGAATGGAGGGTACTATCTCCTGGACAACGATGCTACTGTGTTGGCGACTCCTTATGCGAGGAACTCGGCGCCACAATACAAGAAGCGATCCGGTACCATGATACTCACCCAGAGGCCTGATTCTAGAGAGCAAATACGCTATACGCCAAATCCAGAAGGGGCAGGTACTGTTCCAATATTCTAACATATCGACTCTGATGTCTGTATGAGAGCTTGTACCGTGCGCCTTTGGTACCAGGTGGTATGCTTCGAGCTGGTGAGCACCTGTTCTGTGAATCTGAATGACATTAGATCAATCATGGTAGAATGCTGTATAATTCATGTTTGATCGACCTTTGAGGCAATATCTCATATCCCTATATATCACTATATAACATGGTATTCCTCAGGCAGCCGCCCCTGAGCGTGTCGTCATAGCCCCCGCCATGCCACAACGATGATTGGCCAAATCCAAGGTCACATGACCAAATTATGTGTTGAGGACCCACTTGTCCCACGGCCAGGGAGTATCAAAAGACCATGGGGATGTTGTTCTGGTCACTGCTACACTGAATCCCAACAGTAGAGCCAAAGTGCAACACATTCTGTATACTGAGTTGGACTTGTCTTAGCGATCAACACCCAATTCGATTTTCGATTCCACATATCTCTGTTTCCCCCGCATGTGATGTCAGAGGGCGAAGTTCGGTCCAACAACGCTCATGGCGGAACAACAACCTGAAAGCGCGACATCGAAGGAGAATGAGTGGATGCAAGATGGAACTGATGTCCAAGGTGAAATCCTTATGGATTGCTTGTGAAGATATGCTAACTCAGTGAAGACGATGGCCGCATTGAGATTGACCTGGACTCCAAAGTCGGCCGCGAGATCTCAAAATTGATTCCATTTCTGGAGTCCGAGAAAGATGTGGAGCAACCACAAGTGCATGTCGGCCCTGATGGATGCAATCTGCATCTCAACATCGTCATTCAAGTTGTTGGGAGCCGAGGCGACGTGCAGCCTTTCATCGCATTAGGCAACGAGCTCCAACAACATGGGCATCGTGTAAGAATAGCCACTCATAACGTCTTTGAGAAGTTTGTGCGCGACTCGGGTTTGGAGTTCTATCCTATAGGCGGAGATCCCTCGGAGCTGATGGCGTACATGGTCAAGAACCCGGGCTTGATACCACAGATGAACTCCTTACGGGCTGGCGACATCCAGCGCAAGCGGGCTATGGTGGCTGAAATGCTCCAGGGGTGCTGGGAGTCCTGTATAGAGGATGACCCAGTGGCCAAAACACCCTTTGTGGCTGATGCGATTATCGCGAACCCCCCGAGCTTTGCTCATATCCATTGTGCTCAAGCGCTGGGGATCCCTTTACACATGATGTTTACAATGCCATGGACCAGCACGCGATCATTTCCACATCCTTTGGCCAACTTGAAATACTCGACCACGGAGCCGAAAATGGCCAATTATTTGTCTTACGGCATTGTCGAATGGCTGACATGGCAAGGGTAATGTCCCATAATATCCTATTGAATCTCATACGCTGACCGCAACATCTAGTCTCGGCGATGTTATCAACGAATGGAGAGTGTCTATTGATCTCGAACCTGTACCCGCCACAGAAGGTCCCCGGCTGGCGGAGACTTTGAAAATACCTTTTACCTATTGCTGGTCACCCACATTGATGCCAAAACCAGCGGACTGGCCGGGCCATCTAGATGTCTGCGGATTCTTCTTCCGATCTCCTCCCGACTTCTCACCACCGTCTGATCTCCATTCATTCCTTCAAAACGGGCCTCCGCCAATATATATCGGTTTCGGCAGTATCGTCATCGAAGATCCCCCTGCAATGACGGCAACACTTATCAAAGCCGTCAAGTCCTGGGGTGGTCGTGCTCTCATATCTCGGGGCTGGAGTAATCTGGGAGATGCCGAGTCAGACGATCAAATTTTCTATCTTGGAGACTGCCCTCATGAATGGTTGTTCCAACATGTCGCCGCAGTGGTACATCACGGGGGAGCAGGAACGACCGCATGTGGTTTACGCTTCGGGAAGCCGACTACTATTGTGCCGTTCTTTGGAGAGTGAGTCGCCCAAGGCGACTGATTAAGATAACCTGCTAATATGTTACAGTCAACTATTTTGGGGGAATATGGTCGCATCCTGCGGTATTGGACCCAAGCCAATTCCACACCGCACATTGACTGCGGATAATCTAGCAGAGGCCATTCGCTTCTGTCTCGAACCTAACACGCTCACTGCCGCCGAGGAACTCGCTATCCGAATGAGTGAGGAATCTGGAGTGAGTGCGGCAGTCGCATCTTTCCATCGAAATCTGCCTATAGACCAGATGCAATGTCGCTTCTTTGGATCTGAGCCGGCTGCATGGAAATTGAAACAACAAAATTCCAAGTCTGCCATTTATTTGTCTAAGATGGCCGCGGGAATATTGGTTGAAAACACACGCATTGATCCGAAGGATTTAAGCTCGTGAGTATTTCATCCTCAGTTTTCCCTTGTTTGGCAAGCATATTTGAACCTGAACTAACAAAATGACGAACCAGGCATGAAAGTCGCCCCATATTTATCCAAACACGGCGATGGGATCCCATCACAGGCGGCACATCTTCCTTGCTAGGCATGTACAAAGACATTCTCACAGCATCGAGTGATGTAGTCGTACAACCATACAAAGAGTTCAAACGCGCCCAATCAGGCGAAGGGGAGCTTCGAGTTATCGAACCTACGAATCGGTCCTCCAGCGATGCATCGTCGACAGGTGGAATCTCCCGCGCATCCACCAATGAGAAACGGGACGCGCAATGGAAGGTAACAAGCACAGCGGTGGGAAGCTCCGCCAAAAGCGTGGGGAAGATCATCGGGTATTACTACAAGGGCGTGCTGGTCGATATACCCATGGCAGTCAACGAGGGCCTAAGAGCAGTGCCCCGAATGTATGGCGAGGAAGTCAAAAGCTATGACAACATCAAGGACTTCAGATCTGGAGCTGCCGCTGCTAGAGAGAACTTCACAGACGGAATGACAGGGGTCAGTGAGATCCTCAAGCAGCCCTACAAAGGGGCCCAAGAGGACGGTTTCAGAGGGATGGTGAAGGGATTCGTCAAAGGGCCTATCAGCGTGGGCACGAAGGCATCTTCAGGTGTGTAATTCACCGTTCCTCCTGCGATCTTGCTATAGGGATGATACTAACGGACCTGCAGCGGCGCTGGGGCTAGTAGCTTATCCAGGGCAGGGATTGGTCAAGAGTCTGCATACGGCCATGCACGGCAAGACTCGGAAATTGATAGCTAAAGCGCGTCTGAAGGAAGGCCAATATCTGGCAATCCAATCGCCCAAGGCCTGGTCAAATTGCCCGGCTGTTCTCGAGGCATTTGAAGCCCAGCAGCGACAGCCTGGGACTGAGATCTCGGGATTTGAGCGAATCCAAGACTAGACGTGTAAATAACAATTTAACGAAGAATAGAACCGGTACTTTGAACAAAGACTATCTGTTACATTCGAATGGCTGATTCCTGCCCCGCATTATTTGTCTGCCTGATAGGACAATCTTCGGCAAAATGCCCCGTTCCAAACTAGTACAGTATCTCTCTCTTAACATCCTCCTTTGCATTTGTCGAGAGCGCGCAAATCATCAAGAAACAACATCGGAATGGCCTCTCAATCTCAGACACCGAAATGTTTTCCGGGGCCCGCGGCGGGGTACACCCAGTCATTCTGGCGGACTCAACCAGATCCCCTCGATAGCTACCAAAGCACTCCAGAATTGCCAACTGAAACCGATATTCTCATTATCGGAGGTGGCTATGTCGGAGCATCGGCTGCCTACCATCTTCTATCAGACCAGAAAGAACCAGCCCCGCGGGTGGTGCTTGTGGAAGCCCGCGAGCTGTGCTCCGGCGCCACCGGGCGGAATGGTGAGTAGACCCCGTCCATGTATAGTTGATCAGACTGACGGTGTCCCCTACGTAGGAGGTCATCTAAGGCCTGATATATACTCAGCGACTGCCACGTATACAGAGCGATACGGACTCGAAGCAGCAGCCGAGATTGTGCGATTCGAAGTTGCGCACATGAAAGAAATAGAAGATTTAGTTCGCAAAGAAAATATTGCTTGTGAGCTTACTTTCACGCGCAGTCTAGATATGTATCTTGATGAAGACCAGCTCAAGAAAGCGAAGATCTTCTATGATTCTTTGATTAGTCAAGGGCTGGACTTTATGGATGATGTGAAGTATCTTTCTGAGTCGGAGGCTCAAAAGGTAAGTTCAAGTTTCCACGCTACATGATAGCCGATCCAATTGTCTCTAACAATGTATACCGAAAAAGGAAGCTTATGTGCGCGATGCCAAAGGAGGTTTCAGCTTCCCCACGGGCCACCTCTGGCCCTACAAGCTCATAACAGGTCTAATCCGCATCGCCGTTGCAAATGGCCTGAACCTGCAAACAAACACACCAGTATCGGAGATCAGCCAATCCCAAAACCCAGATGGTTCATGGTCAGTAAGCACAAACCGAGGCACAATTCATGCTCGGAAGATCATCCTCGCAACCAACGCATTCACCAGCGCGCTAGCCCCAGAATACTCCAAGGCAATTGTACCCTGCAAAGGAGTCTGTACTCAAATCGTCGCGGCCCCGAATGCACCCCATCAAGAATTACCCGGTACATACGCCATTCGATTGGGGCCTGGTGCATACATCTACCAAATCTCTCGGCAAGATGGGTCCCTCATTGTCGGTGGGGCATCGCATACTTTCAAACATGATCTGAGCGAGTGGTACAATAACCCCGATGATGGGACGCTAGTCCGGAATATGGAGCATTACTTCGATGGGTATATGCAGCGGACGTTCTTTGGTTGGGAGGATAGCGGGGCGGAAGTTAAGCATATTTGGAGTGGTGGTATGTATTCTCTTGAATGTGCGAGTCCTTTTTGTATCGATCTGGGATGTGCTAATTGCTGTATATAGTTATGGGATATAGCGCGGACTCTTTACCGCACGTTGGTAATGTTCCCGGTAAAACTGGGCAATTCATTGCGGCGGGTTTCAATGGCCATGGTATGCCTGTGGCATACCTTTCTGGCAAGGCTGTTGCCAATATGGCGCGGGATTCCGTCTCTTTCAGGGAGACTGGATTGCCGCGCTTGTTTGAGACTTCGCTGGAACGATTGAAGCCGGTTTACAATGACATTCTAGAATAAGAGCCCCTTCTAATTGATGCATCTTGCGACATCCTTGCTCCACTAGAAATTCAATTGAATGTTTGCTGCAATGCCCGTACTTTGTTGAATCGAGTAGCTTCGTTTATCTTGGATGCCATCGGCATTTTGGCGTCATCTGTTGAACAAACAACCCAAGCTCCCTGTTTCAAACCAAGCCCGGTCATGCTTCCACCCATGAACAATCAGATCTCTACCTACCTTTACGACCTCTTCGATCTGCTCCGGAGTACCCCATCCAGGAACCCTGCTTCCCCAGCAAACAAGATGTACACCAACGTGGATAGCAGTCCGGAATGCCGTGTCGTCACTGAGAGACCCGTATCCATCCAGGAAGCCTTCAATGGCCCACAAACCAGCATCCACATTCTTGAAGAGCTTGGTTTCGTACAGCTCGGCAATCATCTGCGCCAAATCCAAGGCTCGTCTTCCAACATGCACCAGCTCCCAATCAACGACGAAGACTTCCGTTTGGGCTTGCTCAGTGAGAGGAACTTTTGGAAGGAGAATACTAGAAGCTAGTGTTAGCATGCACACCGCATCAAACCCGGCGAAGAAGGAACATCTGCCTGAACGTACTTGCCAGTCCAGAAATCGCCATGGATAATTCCATAGTCATTACTACCATCTACCTTCTTCAGCTCATCAGCCGCCATATCACGGACTTTCTCAAACACATCACGACTCTCTCCCAAAAGCTTCGGGAAATTGGGAATTGTGTCAATGAGCATGGTGTAGTTGATATAAAACTTCAAGTCTCTCATGGCTGTATTCTCAGCGACTGTCGCCTTAGCCTTCAACTGAGCATCCTCGTTTCCCCAAGAGTGAAATGAGCGAAGCCAGAATCCCATGGCAAGACCCAGTGTTCGTGCCGCGGTGTCCGTGATGCCATCAGAAACGTCAGAGATAAGGAAGTTCTTCAGATCTACTGAATTCGGCAGATCCTCGAGAACCTGCGTGTTGGTTTCCTTATCAAAATTCAACAGCCGAGGTGTTTTGACAGTGATATTGTCTTGGGAATAGGGTGGCAGGCCATGAAGGGCCTGGAGAATAGCTTCTTCAAAATACTAACTCAAAATTATTAAATCGTAAAACAAACAAAACTGCTCTAATAATGACTCACGCATCGGTCAACAACAATTTTAAAGTTTGGGTTTGAAGCTGAGTGGCCTCTGGTGTTCTTAATAATGATGGACTCGGCGGGTGAGACGGTGCCTCGGTACACGTAATTGGCCGTGCCGCCAGATAAGCGCGTGAGGGAAGTGCATGCGAAGGGAGTTTGCGAGAGCTGCTGCGTGATTTGATCACGGATCTCTTGCTCTGTAAGCATCTTGAGTGTGAAGAGTTGAAAGTTGCGAGGATCCAAGTTGCTTTCCCCCAGGTTGTTTTCCTTGCACTAGTCCCGATCCGGTCCCCGAATCCACATTGGAGTATAAAGTGACTGTAGGCGTATTTCCACCTAAAGCTAAGTTATAACTATTTTAAACCCTTACGCTTCCTATATCAAGTTCAAAAGTAGTTAGCCCTAAGTAATATTGACAGTATCGCCGATGACCAGAGAAAAGCATGATTTGAAAGCGATGTACGGTCCCATCGGCGTTAAGCCCGCAAGGCGGGATATGGCACTACCGGAGTAGTATGCAAAAGATCCAGAAAATACAATCAAATTCATTTGCAAAGAATGTTTCTAGAAGGAGCAGGTCTGAAATGCAGGAACTGATAGCATAGCGTGGAAGTCGCTGTTTGGAAGTCTCACGAAGTCTTGGACCTCTTGCAAGGGTGCCTATGAGACACTGATTGAGCAACGGAATGTAGTTGAAGCATCTGCACGATCTCATCATGTCCTTTAGAATGAGCAGCCTGTAGCGCAGTGGCGTAGAGTCCACCCTGAGAATTGACATCAGCTCCGTGTTCTAGCAAAAGCTGCACGGTATTGTAGTGTCCTTCAGAACAAGCAGCCTGTAGCGCACTGCCGTAGAGTCCACCCTGAGCATTGACGTTGGCTCCACACTCTAGTAACAGCTGTACAGTATTGTCGTGTCCTTCAGAACAAGCAGCCTGTAGCGCATTCCTGTAGAGTCCACCCTGAGCATTGACATCGGCTCCGCACTCTAGCAATATCTGTACAGTATTGTCATGTCCTTTAGAACAAGCAGCCTGTAGCGCATTGCCGTAGCGTCCACCCTGGACATTGAAATTGGCTCCGTGATCCAACAACACCTGCACGATCTTGCTATATCCATTTAACGATGCCCAAAACACGGGATATGACCCCGTACTATCCGCTATATTTATAACACTTTGATCTTCAGCACATAGACTGTGGACCACTTGTTCATGCCCGTTAAAGGCTGCCAGATGAATTGCATCCATTGAAGGCCTTTTCTCATCTCCCCCGATCGCGTTCCAAAATATAGGAAACCAAAGACAAAATCAGGTCGTAAGTTTGTTATACACTTGATGCAGCAAATCAGTCAGTTGGTATGCAGTCGAATTCATATGTCGCACATGATCGGGCCAATGTACTGCTGAATATTCTAGGAGGTTTCGGATATTGGAGCCTGATTTGCCTTCGCAGTCTTTCAAATCCTCCATTAAAAGGTATCGCAAACAGATTTCAGCCATCAAATCCTCCGCATCACTTAGGCTGCTCCAGTATGCGAAATTGAGAATGTTCAACCTTTTCTTTTCGATAAGAAACTCTCTAGCTGTCTGATGGATGAGATAAAATTTGGAGTGATTGGTAAAGACAAATAGGCCACATAATTGCCGAAGCTTCTCGTCTAAATCAATTGGATCGAGCCCAGCCTGTATTGTCGTTCGCGGTCCTAAGCAAGTGGCAATGCCTAGGGCCATGGCCATCTCTCGTATTGTTAAAGGACGCCGTGCCGCCACGATGATCTCTAAGACCTTTTTGACTATATCTGTTTGATCAACTGGGACTCGAGAGAGGATCTTTTCATATGCTGCATTCACAGAAGGCGGTATCAGCGTGATCGAACTCTCTGTAGGCCGAAGGCTGCGCTTAAAGGTGGTGCGGATATCATCAATGGCTAGGTGTAGCCAGAGATATGTACGGTTTTCCATTTGAAGAAGCTGCTGTTGAACTCGCTGATAAACGTCTAGTGACAGTGGAACTGTTTCGGCTAGTTCTCTCACTCGAATCTTCACTACTAGATCAATCTCCTCACCGATTTGGTCATTTTCTTCCTCCCCCTTAATGTGGATATGAGGGAATGAATCGGTAATTGCTCGGAAATGATCCTGTATATGATCGTAGGGTCGACTAGTGACCAGGATTTTCAAACGGGTATCTTTTGTTGATGGCTGGCAGTAAAAGGTTTGGAGCTTCTCAATCAATTGGCCCTGATCCATTTCACGGCATTCATCAAGCGCGTCGAATATGCAAATCGTATTATGTGACACGTCCGCTAATGCGGCCGCTGTAAAGATCCGCCAAAGCTCATCGACCTCTTGTTGAAGTCTCTCCCCATTTTTCTCCCAGGACGGAATAGCGTGATGCAATAGATAAGGCCGCTGGCTAAAGAGCTGATGTAGTATCGAACATAGAGCTGTAGCAAGATGGTTCTGTTCGTCGTTATCTTTGAAGAAAAAGAAACACATGGTCACTGGACTAGAAGCTTGCACGTCATCGATGATCGATCTGGCCAGTACAGATTTCCCGCAGCCCGGATCGGCTGAGACCCATAGAAGATCATTATATGTACTCTCCCACCAACGAATGTATTCGGGGTTCTGCAGGGCCCATTGACAGGTTCCTTTCACTCTTGTCGGATTGATATTCTTTTGCTCCTCGTAATTTGATATCTTGAAGGCTTGGTGACAACGTCGTTGCCGATCTGTCCAATGTTGATTGTATGCTCGGTCTAGGCGTTTATTTGTGCCTTTGATTTCGTCCTTCAATTCATCAATACCTATACAGCCATATGAGTAAGCCACTCTCGATAAAAGTCTAAGGTAATTTTGATTTTACTTACTACATACATCCACCACCAAGCTCTCTTGCGAAACATAGGCCACTGGTATATATCCTAGCAGCTCTTTGGCATACGATGCCGCTGCTAAAGCGGCATATCCTTGCCACTGTTTGTTTTTATGGGAATCGGCGTAATCACAAACCCCGCGGATGACAATACAAGGAAAGTCCTGCATTAACCCAGCTGCCTCCATCTCAAAGCACAATGCTCCAGTGGCCAGCCTAAGCTTTTCCCGGGTCCCTACATGTTTAATAACAGAATTTCCAGACGCAATGATACCGTAGTGTGGTTGTGGATCGCTGCTCTCTCGCTTGCTCCTTATCTCTTCCCATTCTGCCGGACAACCATCATAGCTATTAATAGTCACCGGGTGATCGTGTTCCGGCTTAAACAGTCGATCCTGTTCTAAATTAGGTCGGCTAAAGTTCTTTCGGGTTCGTGTGGTTCTTCTAGTCGCGTTGGCGAGATATTCCGGAAAGCGGGGATCATCTCTTAACTCAGCGGCTCTCATCGAGCTGACTGCTGTTAAAGGTGACCTAGGAGGACTGTTTAGAGACCTATTTCGATAGAATCCACCATCCAAGCCGACTTTCCCCATGTCGTACTGGACAACACCACCGACAGTGCGTTCCGGGCAGCTAATTACAACATCGCCAAGTCGTATGTCATGAGCAGTCGACGGAATCCCGCCTCCAACACCAACCATCAGTCCGACGCGGAGTGATGTTGAGAATGTGCGGACCATATTATTTGCGACCGTGGTAGCCGCGTTGTTGCCATATTGTCCTGCAGGGAGGCAGGCGATCACAACATAATGTTTCCCGATTCGGCCCAATGTGTAGGTATTTGAGTCGGACATATCTTGAGAATCAAGAGGGCCAAAATCTTCATCTAGCATTTCCATAGCTGCGGCAGCCTCGATTGGCAGGGCACATATCCATCCGATTTGGAATGTTTCTCGTGGCGGACAGGCCATGTCAAAAATTTAATTCGCCCACGAATGAATCTTGGAGAGAGGCCGGAAGACAGTAGGAGAGATTGATGCGTTTTGAAACTACATCTGGGAAGCGAGAAATTCCATGGCATGGTGGGCAGAACGAAAGCATTCTCAGCCCCAAAGGCTCAGCCACGCGCTAGACACGAGGTGCAGCAGCTGGGCGGCAAGAGACAAAATACTATTGGTGGTAGCAGTCAATATTAAGTAAACTCAGAATATCTTGGACGTAACCGTTCCTCCACCGTGGTTTCACCAAGAGGTATCGTGCAAGATTTGGGTATATTTCGCTTCGATATTATGTACACGCTGAAGGATGAATGAAGCCTGGGACCCTGTAAAACGAATAGGCCAGCGAGCCAGGTCAAGCAACTGTTGCAGCTGGCTGCTCAGTATTCACTTTTTCAGCAGCTGCCTTCTCAGCCAACTCCTTGACTGATCTCTTCTCCTTCTCAACGCCATTCCGTCGTTGAGCAGTATCACACAGCTCAAGGTTCCCACATTCACATTCTCCCTCTCTGAGCCACCGATAAGTAATGCTCCATCGATTTTCACGCGGTCTAATGGTTCCATCTGGAAGGGTATCCGTCTTTCGCTTTTTGATGCCATGCGTCCAATGCAGCCTGGAGTCCCCGCTCATCTGCATCATGCTCCGCGGGGTCAAATCAACCTCGAGCCGCTGCTCACCCCTGCGGAACAACATCATAGCCGGTGCACCCAGAGATAGCGCGTAGAGCTGATCATACGGCTTGTGCGCATCTACATGTGGAGGGATGCCAGCACCTGGTGGATAATACTGCAGACAGACCTGGTCTGGTGGTCGGTCCTCGGTAGTCGGGATGAGTGGTTGGAGCCATTCCGGGAACTCTTTGTAGGGAATTTCAGGGTCTATTCCAAATGTTTTATAGTCGAAAGTGTAGCCGTAGTGGAGGGATATACGGCCAGGGCGATCGGGCCATTTCAGCTCATTGAGGAAGATGGAGATGAGACGTTGTTCGTGTTCGGCATCGACAAAGTCATCTTCCCAAATGATGCCATGGGGCTCAATTGGCAGTTCTTTGAAATTGCTCCGCACCTTTCCCATCTTATATAGATGATGTTGAGAGATGGTTTACACACGTGATGCTATTCAAACTCTGATCCAGGGGCTGTATTAATTACTAGTATCAATACAAGTATTTTTTGAATATTCTCGCCTAGGAACGGGCCGTGAGGTGTTTCGAACAGTATTGTAATATAGCCTAGATCACAATAGCGGCCAAAGACAACCAGTTATCTTTCCTTCAGTTATCTGCCAAGGAGGTATTTGGGAGCTGCGACACGGTCCTTCATGGTGCGACAGGTTGTAACGTTAATGCGAGGGTGTGCGCACAGGCTATTGCACCCAATTACAGTGCTTCCCAAAAACCAGATCTATGCTGACTTAACTTCCATTCCAAGCAGTATCTCCCAGAATACAGTAGGGCTCTCAACAGCTTTGTGCGACCCCTTTACCAGATTTGACATCATACATTTGTCAATTATGCTCAGTTTTGGTCTCATTCAGATACCCCTAGGGCATATGTCCGCAGGTCTAGTTCTGTACAAAGATAAAGTCTGGATGGAGCGTGCAAATTCTCATGCCTTAGAACGGGAAAATGAAGCGTATAGTGACTCTTATTTATTTTTACTTGTGAAGTGAACACGCTAAAATTGAAGCGGTCTTACTGAAGGGGCAAGTGGAATTCGGCGCGAACAATCTCGGAGCAGCCACCAAAGATAAGGTATTCAAGTAAAACATACAGCTTAAATCAGCGAGGAATTACTGCAGGGATACAGACATATGATGTATTTACCTAGGTATCCCCGAGCAAGGAGAAGGTCAAATAATTGCCAAACAGACATTGGATTCATATTCACCCGACGGATCTACCTTTTAGTAACAAGAATGAGCAGAGTACAAGCAGCCAAAGAACAGAAATTTGAACAAAAATGAGATAGCAGAAAAGGTCAAAATTCTTCTACTTGCGCGTCCCCAGAAAAACAAATATACGCCAAGCCATTCAATTCAGCTTTAGGTTCAATGATCGGCGCAGATCCCCCTTCTCCTAGACAATCCACATTCTGTCATCGCGCGTCTACGTTCCACCTGAGGCCCCTGTGATGAAATCCGCGGGGCTTGGTCCTACACAGTCCCATTCCAAATCTCCCATGTCGCAATGGCTGTCACCCCATCCACCACCCACGCTTGAAGCACGTCTCGTTGACAGGCCTGACACCATGTCTAGCCATATCAAGTTCGCAGAACCCATCCAGAAGAAAGGTGGCAATGGGCCTTCAAGGAGGGATACTAGAGAAAAGGGGTCGACACAAAGAGCACCTTCTCCCGGAAGTGAAATCGTCTATCCGACAGGATGGAGACTCGTGCTTACTACCATAGGGTATATTTGCTCGGCGAAGTGCCATAAGGCTGTGGGTGACGAATGCTTACGTTTTGTGACAGGCTCTTGATTGGATTTTTCCTCTCCAATCTGGATGTGACGATTGTAAGCTCGTCTCTCACGAGCATGACAGATGACCTGAAAGGCTTTGAGAAAAGAAGTTGGATCGTCACCGGGTACCTGGCCACCTACACAGGTATGACTCCTAAATTTACTTTTGAGTTTGTCACTATGCAGTTTGGGGTGTCTTTTGATACATTTAATTCTATATGGTTTCCTGCTATCTGTTAATGTTACCTTGCTGATTCCAGAATGCTTTTAGGGTCCATGGCAATATGGACAAAAGTGAGTGATATAATTGGGAGAAAGCACACTACAATTGCTTCGCTTGTTATTCTGCTCGCATTCTCAATTGGATGCGGATGCGCCCACACAATCAACCAACTGTGAGATTTAACAACACTCTTTGGCGTGGACTTGTTCGAGACTAACCATGTTGATACAGTATAATTCTTCGAGCACTCCAGGGGATAGGGGGCGCTGGTGCATATGCACTGGCACTATTATGCATCTACGAGATATCTCCTAAAACGAAGCTTCCGACATACAGTGGTCTCATGTCATTTTGCCTCGCTCTTGCATCTTTGATAGGCCCAATAATCGGAGGCGCCTTTGCGCAAGTCTCGGCCTGGAGATGGGCTTTTCTTATCAAGTATGTAGATGCCCGTCGTCTGTTCTGAACGTGCTGATCGATTATAAGTGCTCCATTATGCGGTATTGCGATCATTGTTATCTTCATTGCTATGCCTACAAACTTCGGTCTCGATCAGCATACTCCGTCATTTAGAACGCGAGCATCGTACCATTCATTTGCAAATCTTGATCTCGTGGGGTCAGTCCTGCTGATGGCAGGCTCGTTCTTGATTGTCGCTGTCTTGAACGAGACGAATCTAGCGTTTTCATGGTCCTCCGGGGGTGCAATTGCGCTCCTCGTTCTAACGGGAGTTTCCTGGATTGCTTTCTTTGCTTGGGAGTGGTATATTTCAGGAATTCCGGGGAAAGATCCCATATTCCCCAAACGCTGGCTATTCGACCGTCCGTGGATGGGTATACTGATGTGAGAATCGGAACCAACACCAATATGTGAAGAAATCGTGCTAAACTGACTGAATGTAGCTCTTCATTTGTCATTGGTGTACCTTTCAATGTTGTCATCGTGTATGTTCCGCAGCAAGCCGAAATCCTGCTAGACAAATCGCCGTTAGACTCTGGTATCTACTTGATTGGATACTCGGCTGTGGCTGCATTTGCGGCGGCCATTGTGAACGTCGCCAGCTCTAGAGGACGTATCCCATTTGTTTACACGCTGCTCGTGGGCTGTGTAGTTCACACTGTCGGCATGGGACTTCTCTCAACCATTACGACATCACATGGCTTTCATGCCACGGATATTGTTTACCAGGCAATTGCAGGCGCAGGCATGGGGGTAATAATGGGAGTTTTGGTGCTATCAACACCATACGTAGTCGAAGACAGAGATCTTGGTAAGTCCTCCCCCTTCTACGTGATGAGTTATATTGGTTGATTGACATCCTCTTGTCATAAATAGCGATTGCTACTGGGGCTGTTGTGCAGTTCCGGTTCCTCGGAGGTGCTATCGGTCTTGCCATTGCATCCAATATCTTGAACGGCCGACTGGCACATCATTTGCACGGTGTTCTGACATCCCACGAACTGCATCTGTTCCTCGAGAACGTGAAATCGATAGAACACCTATCACCACATCTACAGAAACAGGTGAAAGATATTTTCGCTGGGAGTTACAGTACGCAGATGCGTGTCATGATCGGATTTGCGGCTGCTCAGATATTGGCAATTTTCCTAATAATCAAGCGAGGTCGGCAGCTTGCAGCTGGAAAGACACACCCCGGCGTTAGTTCGGGGTAATAAAAGACCACGGGCTTTACTTTGCATGTTGAAATGAGCGTCTAAATGGCTTGTAAAGTCACAGCCTTAGCTCCAGTTCAATTACCAGGCGTTATGGTGCAGTTTCTTATACTATATTGGAAATCTGTGAAGGAAATTACAGTGCATTACGGAAGGAACCAATCTCAATGAATTATGACCAGTTAGCACAGTGTAATTGTAGATGTTGCGGGGCGAAGATAACAATGTACGCCATCTCGAGCTATCGATCGCTAGTTCCCAGCGCCTATCGATGGACATACATACAAATAGCCCCCTAAGTGGCACAGACCCCCTGACGAATCCTAATTAGAAAAAAATAAGCATAAGATCGGGAGTGAATAAAATCAATAGATAAGTCTAGGTTATTATTCATAGAAAATATATTGATGACAAAGTCGTAGCAGAATTTCTGGATAGTAACTTAAAAGCTTGAAGCTAACCTAAGTCATGTATGCTGGTCGCCTTAGTCTACAGTACGTGATTGCACTTCAGTCACAAGTTCCTAGCTTTACTTTCTGCTCTATCTTGACAAACATATGAATAAATAATTTTGCTATAAGCTCGAGATATCTCTTACGTCACACCTGGGGTCTGTCGGTCCTCACAGTACCCTTTACCTTCACAGTCTCAGTCTCACCCTCCCCTTTTTTGCTTTTTCCGGGCTCGTTGATATATGGATTCATAGTGTTCGAATTCGAAAGACCCTCCTGCTTGAACGACATGGTTGTTGGACCGCCCGCGGAGCCCATGCCTCGAGGCTATCGAAAGTTAGATGTGTGTTTACTAGCGGCAGTGCATTGTCCAGTCTAGAAGATTGACGTGACCAAGAGGATTTTGGGATAAACAGTTGATAGAATAACAAACCTTGTCATCATCGAATGAACTAGAGCCTTGTCCCTTTCCCTTGAGATGTGGCTCATTGCCCTCATTTCCCTCTGCACCATCGGTATACTCCTGATTGGCACCCCGTGCTCCTCGTTGTTCTTCGCGAACTACATTGGTCTTAGATTTCTGTTTCCCGCCCCTTTGCCAAAAGTAGAACGAGATCGGAAGGCCGAGCCCAAATAAGGCTATTAACCTAGGAAAGAAGATGCGTAAGTAGGAGATCTCCCTGAAAGGAGATACGCAGGTAATACTCTTACCATCGGGGAACAGCTTGCTGCATTTCCGGTCCACTTGTAGCCATACGTCTCCGGCTAGACGTTGGCCGAGTTGACCGAAGCCCAACAGTTCCGAGCCGGAGAGGTCGTGGCATTGGTGCGTGTAAAACTGACTGGCGGAGAAAGCTCATGGTTGTAACTCGCGACAAAGCTGAGGAATCAATTCAATAATGCAACCACTAGAAGATGATGATTGAGATTAAACATAAAGAGGTTCCAAGATTGAAACCAATACAGCAGAGCTGGACAAACACCCAAAACTCCGGTCTGGTTCATTGTTACATCATCTCGGTCCTCGAGCTCCCCTGGGTTCCAGATTCAAAGATGTCACATTCTTCAAAACCAAGTATCAATCAAGACATGACAATTACTCGATGGGCTGGACTATAAATCTTGATTTGGTTCTACTATTGAGTGAAACAAGAATTTGTTTTATTGCTGATCATTCGACCGAAGTGGGCGACATTTCCGGAAGAAAAGCCGCCAGCATCAGGTTCGGGTGGCAACTCTAAAAGATATCAAGTATTAGATACTCTGAATGCCTGATGTGCATAATTCGAAATAAGGAGAGCAAAATATGCGACTGTCTTGCTTGTTGGGCGTAGAGATAGGTGGCATCGCAATGACGTACTTGCTAGCGCTCCATTATTTGACGGCGACCTTTCTCCTACCGGGTAAGCATCTCACGCACCAATGTAGTAGTGACTGGGATGAATACGTTATTACACAACAGTCTTATAAATAGTCTAGCAAATGACCAGATCAACTTCGAGAGGAGGGAGAGACCGTCAACGAATTTGCGATATAGCATCCAAATCCTGGGAGCGATTTTTCTGTGTTCCCAATATATGCCCAAGGAGGATGACAGCCCCCAGTATCACGATTCAAAACATAAAAGTGCCCTATAGTAATTTCAGTAATACTTCTAGGATGGATATTAGTCCGCCGGGGATACTTCTGCTCACCATCAGCGCATTGACAATAAGTTCCATCAACACCACAGTCAGGGTCGGCACTACATCGACATGAGTACATCACAGCATAAACAGTGAACTAAATACATTTACAGTAGTACTTACAATGGGTAGCATCCACTGTTCCCACTAGCAATGCTGTTACCATGGCTGACGCTGGCGTTGCTAGAAACTGGAATCGCCGAGACAATTGCCAGTCTGGCCAGAATGAGGATGGATGCCGACGTATTAACCATGTCGGATTGGATGAATTGCTTAAAGATCTTGAACTCGAGGCTATGGAAATGCCCCGACTTTTAACTAACCTAGGAACAGATGGCATGCATGGATAGTTACACGGGATATCTACTTCTGTCCGTGAAGGGAAGCTGCTGAGGTCTACATGTGCTTTCTTCTCTAGCCAGAAACACTTTATTGTTACTCAAAATTTATTGGAAATGTCTTAGAGTGCAATTTTAGAATATAACTTCGCCAACTCTGCTGTGTTTTAACGCCGAGAAAGAATATTTAGTCCGGTTACTAGGGGAATGGACTAGAAAGTTTATTTAGTAGGTTTTGCGTAGAGCAAAACGTGTAACCTTAGATTTGATCACTAAGAAACATCGCATTGGATATGGTCACACTCCGCAGCCCTGAAGACTGTTGTTTACTATATGTCGAGGGTGGCAGGGAGCGGAACCGACGGGCGACAGCGTACCAATCAACGTCCGCATCGAGGCGGCTCCGAGGTGGCGACTTTGGGGGCGGCTCCGATGCTTGGGCCAGATTTGTGTATAGTTCCTTGGTATTTAAACACTCGCCTTTGAACAAACATTATAATCTTCAGTCCATGCTTTCTTTTCTACTTTTCCAAGTATACCGAATTTCATGATGCCCAATCCCACTGTCGTCATTGTGCCAGGCGCCTGGCACCGGCCTGCGCATTTCCAGGGTCTTATCGATGAGCTTGCCAAGGTCCACTACGACGCCGTCGGAGTTACTCTCCCATGTGTGGACTCCAGTCCTCCTCTGCCAAGCTGGGACCAGGATGCACAAGCTATCCGCCAAGTGATTCTTGAAAAGCTGGACGCTGGCAAGGATGTCATCACGCTGGCCCACTCATTCGGTGGTATTTCCATGTCCGAGGCGGTTAAAGGTCTGGGAAAGAAGGAACGCGAAGCGCAAGGCCTAAAAGGAGGCGTTAGCAAGCTCATTTACATGTGCGCCATGGCATTGCCCGAAGGCCAGACCCATCTCGGTCAGATGGTGCCTGCTTCTCCTGAAGAGGAGGAGATCGAACGGCAGCGTCAGGAATTGCAAGCGCAATTCGGAGGAATGGAGGCCACAGCGGTATGACAATCCAATAATATGGTAACTTCAATGATTGACTTTTTCCATTTAGGATGGGGCAATCGTCCTCCCCAAAGAGCATATTCACCTGGTCTTTTATAATCGCTGCGAGCAGAAAGATATCGACGAGGCAGTGAAGCTGCTCGGCACATTCCCCATGGGACCATTGGCTGTTCCTGTAACGTACACTGCTTACCGTGAAATTCCGAGCACATACATTGTCTGCAACAACGATCGGGCATTGCCCCCGCCAGTGCAGCGAAGGATGATCGCGCAAGGCGAGGGCTGCTTCGATGTGGAAGAGTGCGATGAAGGTCACTCTCCGTTTATGAGCAATCCCGCCTTCATTGTAGGTTGTGTTCGCAGGGCGGCTGGGGAGAACATCTAGATAGCTCGTTGACCAATCTGCGACAAAGCTTGAGGCTATGTAACTTAGATGTATAATGATACCTCTCCTCTTTTCAGACATGACTTGATCCTTGAACCAAAGCCTAGTAAGGTATAAACTAGAGTCCACGGGCTTTTCTAGATAGGATTCGAGAAAAGAATACCTGAGTGGGAATGGTGGAAATGAGTTCGATCCATCCTATAAGCTATACACTAACACCATAACGAATACCTGTCTCACACAACTAGCTCAAAATATTTCGAGAATTCTGCGTCTTTCCCAAGTAAATCATGTTCCTCAACCGGCAACTGCACGAAGACCTCAAAAAGCCTCTCCTTTCCACACGAGAAGTTTGGCAAAATCATCGCGCAAGCTCCTGGCACGCTTGCATCAAGTCTAACCGCGAGTGGAACCGAGCCAGCTCCAATATCATAATTCTCTGCCTTACCCGAATACCAGGAGTTCATAAAAACGTCCATGCCGGAGAAATCCGCCCGGCTGCCCAGTGTTTCCGTTGGGGAGAGTGATCCAATGAGAGAGGTCATATGCCCGACTGTGGACAGGCTAACTGTAGATATAGACTTGCGTATAAGGATTGCTGCAGTTGCAAACTCCTTGTCCCCGTCTGATACCAATTCTTGCGCAGTTACAGGGCCTACTTGGCACCCAACAACAGCGTTGCCAAAGTAGTTCTTGGTTGTCCTGTTCTCTATGTCTCTGGTACGGACATCGATGGGGTGAATAAAGCGGGATGGCGAGATGACCTTCTCCGGGTGAAGTTGAAGCCGGGAACGTGTGATTGACCTCCAGGCGAGGGCAGCGATGCAGTCGTAGGAGGTGACGTAGTCAACTTCGCCCAGAAACGGAGCACAGCGCGCTTTGAGTTGTTGAATAATTGGCTCATCGATCTTGTATATTTTTGACTGGAAGGGTGGCGGTGGCGGAGGGGGCTTGAATTCGCTCTTGTCCATGACATAAAACATTGGCAGGCTTTCTAGTAAATCTTGCCTCGAGACGGATGGGTCCGGTGCTGGAGTATTGTACGGAGTCCTGTTCAGGTCCGGAGCGTATCTGGGAGCCTCCAGGCCATCTCGGTAGGCCTTGGTGCTTTGACAAACAAGAGACAAGAATATATTGATTGACGCCCAGTCCCCAGCAGCATGGTTCATTCGGAAGCCTAGGATTAGACCACCCTGAATAAGACTCAGGTGCAGGGCGCAGACAGTATTTTTGCCATTTACCTCTTCAGGCAGAAGCTGGGCACAGTCCAGATCATTTGAGGAGAATGAGTTCTTGGCCAAGATGGAGAAAGGCTTATGCTCTGTGGATCCAAATCGCCGGATGTTGACTTCCACCTGACTTTCTGGAGATACCACAATGCAAAGCTTTCCAGATTGCTGAAATTCGAAAGTTCCTGCCATGAACGGAAATTGACGAGTTGCATTTCTCACCCCTTCCACGACGGAGGAAATCAACTCGTCTGGATGAGCAGTGGGCTGAAGCTCATAGCAAATGAAAACTTTCACCTTCTTAGTGAAACCCAGTTTGTCGAGGTCAGACAATTCGTATGTCTTGATTTCGTCCATGATTCTCGTAATGCCCGGTAGATTTGACAGAGTTGTAAAGCGTAAATGGGACTTGAATGTAATTAACGGAGCTGAAGGTTCGACTCTTACCACTTGTCAGCTCCGCTCCACAAAGGAGTAAGTAGTCAAAAGAGGAGAGACAAAAGCCCAAAGAGTGATGAATATAATGACTTGGGAATAGAAGAGGCAGAGAATGGATTAATACCGAAACTACGACTCGCCCAGTCGGAAACCTAATGAGGTGTAGCTTCGCCGCCTTGATATTACCTGATTGAGTTCCCGATCAATTTCTTTGCCAACTGGCGTGAATTTGATTACTTTCCCTTCTTTTGATAAGAACGTGATATCAGGAAACAGATGTACATATATTCGATTGCTTCAAATCTCACGTTAGCTTAACTAACTTAACTAGACTAGTTAACTAACGTTAACGTTACGAACAATGATGGATGCCTCATATCTCGGGCAGCAGGCGGCACGGAACGGATAATCATCATACCGCCGTAAGAATAACCTTCTCGGCTTTATTCCCTTGTCTACCCATGTAGATACGGAATGCCAGGAGACCAGAATGTTTCACAGGCGACTAAACCATTCTTGAAACCACAGCGTCGCCAAAATACTAGTTGTGACCGGTGCAGACGTTCAAAGCGGCGCTGTGTTGTGCCAAGCAGTTCAGAAGGAGTGTCTGGAACGATATGCACGAACTGCGAACGTCTGAGACACCATTGTACATTCGAGTTCGCGAAGCGTCATCCCAGCTCCCCGGTCAACAAAAGACAAACACAAAAAAGTGCGGAGGCCGCGGAAGGACCTGAGCATGATAAACCGAATATTTTTGACGGGCCGATCGAAAGGCTTCCCGACAGCCCGGAAAACCAATTCAATGCATCTTCTGTGGCTGATCAGGATATCCTAGCGGCGTGGTTGAACTTCGATCATGAACGAATTCCAGATGACCACTTCGCATCGTTATCAAACAATTACGAGGCATCTACTCCTCTCGCACCAGCACGATGCGATACTCCAGCTACGACAGAGACTCAAATCAATAACCAAATTTCACATTCATTCAATCGAATGAACACAGATCAATATGCGCCTGCTGTTCCGTTATCATTCAAAAGTCCAATATACCTGTTGAATACCGGAATAGATGCAAAGATACTTGGTGATAGACTCACTCGGATCTACGACGCAATCTCAACAGCCAGTTCATGTAGTTTTCTCGACTATGATTGCAATCTTTATGCAACTGGAAATCGTTATCGAATAAGAGAAAGCAAATCTGGAAGCTCAACGGAGTCGCCACCTGCGATACCGACCATTAATCCACATAATACACCAAACGACAGACTCCCCCAATATGCTCCCTCAATACCGACAAACGAGGAAATCGTCCACGAGATCTCCCTTCTGGGGAGCGTTCGATTTTTGGATCATTTCAGTCACCTTTATGGCAACCGGCTGGATTCCAACGCACGGAGAAAATCTGATGCAGCCTTAAAGGCAGTTCTCCTTGCATTTTCAATGCAATGGTTGCCGGCGGCTGATGGAACAGGCAATATTGTCCCGCAATCTCTGGATTCCAGAAAAATAGAATCTGACTCGACTTTAAATGCCTTTACTGATGCTTGGCTTCGAGCCCGAGCACTCCTAGAGGATGCTCGCCATGTGAAGACTTTTCGTGTCATTATCGCAACACTGACCTTTGTCGGCATTGTGTCGCCAACAAAAGTGAGGGACATGGAAGGTGTCGTGACTCACGATTTCCTTGACTCGGCTCTGCAGAAGCTTTGCTACTTGGATGGACTTGTTACGCAATACCGCGAGCACCTAGGTCCATCTTCCACATATAGTGCTCTTTTAGAAGCAAGTCTGAATCTTATTCGCTGGACTGGCTACATCCGTGACACAGGAGCGGCATTGGCCACGGACCGGCAATGCAGGATTCCCGAGCTTTGGGGCTTTGAAAAAGGTAGGGTGATTGCCCATTTCTATCTACGGAACTGACAATTTGAAGTCGCTTTGAACAAGGAGTCTATGCCGGGTTGGTCTGCCTATCAAAACATTCTAGCATTTGATGGCCATGTCCAGGGCATATGTCTGAAGGCCAGTGCAGAGACATTCTGTGTCTGGAGGAAGATAATAAACATCAAATCTTGTACGAGAGAGTCAACTAATTCTTCGCCCGGACATCAACAATCGATTGTCGTAGCCATACATTCTAGCGTGGCAGCCATCGACCAGTTGAATGCGTCGTTTCAACCATTCATAGCCCATTCTATCAGCAACTTTCTATATCTTTCGACCTGTCCTAGGATCTCTATTGGTGAGCGAGTTCTTTCCACTTGTTCCCTTTACGACCACTGCCGACTAACGAGTGTTTCTTTAAAAGTTTCCCTTGTGATGTTCTGGAATTTGGGTATCTTCTTACTTAACGACGTCTTCAAAAACGCCTCCAAGTACCTCAATGTTTCGGACGAGCAACAACTCGCCCCTATAATCCGGAAATACCAACAAGACGCAGCGTTATGTGTCACATCAACGGTTGAATGCGTGCTCAACCTCCCCGTGGAAGAGGCCTTCAATCTTCAAAATGGCCTAGGTGCAGAAGTTCCGATCACGGCCTATCATGTCACCCCAAGTATAGCTGTGACAGCCCTTCAAAAGGCCATTGAGGGTGTTATCCAACTGCAACTTCATTCAACTCACGACGCTGATCTCTTTGAGGGAGACTGTCGCATACCCGTGCCTGATGGGACCTGGGATCGACAGATCGATGTCTTGATGAAGGGTCTCATGTCACTTGATGTTACTATTGGTGGATCACAAACTTCGAGCATGGCCCTTCGGCTGTTGATGCAGCGATATGGCGACATTCTATCTGAATGTTGGACTTCGGATTTTGATACATGACTCGTAACTATTATATGTCAATAAATACCATCTCCCTTTTTGTTAGGCCCATCATCCTTTGTCTTGATCAACGCATGCTCCATGCATGTAGGACCTAGGTTGTGAGGCTATGACCGCTCTCCACATGCCGATGGTCACCTCGGCCGAAACACCCCGCAACTATTGCAACTCAAAAGCCGAAGATCATCAAGATGAGCAGAGATTCAACAGGCTTTGGGGCTGGGAACCTACACGAGTCCGCCGATTACCCCTCTCAGCTCCTGCTTATGCGGGGCTACTGCAGGAGGCCATCACGTATGCCCCTGAAGACATCTCGGCTGTGACATGTCAATCTCATAGGGAGTTCGGCACTCGAGCCTGTGCGACGAGATATCGAGATCGGAAAAGTTATAAGATTGCGCCCCTGAAAACAAAGAAGCTGTCTTATATGCCCCTTTTGTGGTCTTAGTCCCGAAACCCCCACGCCATGACATCTGCGGCAGAAACGGGCTATGTGGGAAATCTCACTCTATCCGAGGAGGAGAAGCTTCGGGAGTTCTGGAGGATCTTGATTCAATCATGGGATGAAGAAGTACCCAGCCCCGACGGAGCCTCAGCAGGAAACTCCGACAGCACGCCAAAGTCACATCGACGATTCTTCTCCCTGACTCGCTCACCAACGCAGCCTACCGAGGAGGAGACATCGGCTATCCCCGCTAAGCAGTTAGCCACCCTCAAGAACCTGAACGCAAGCCCAGCCGAGACCAAGACAGTTCAGTCGCTTCTCTTGAAGCTTCCAGGCGATAGGCTTCGATCGGCGCTTTTGACCATTCTCAAACAAGACCATCCCGACGCTCTTCTTTTGCGCTTCCTTCGTGCGGAGAAATGGAACGTCCCAAAAGCGTGGATCAAGTTAGTCACGGCTTTGAACTGGCGTGTCAATGAGTACAAAGTGGATGAGGAAGTTCTGCTCAAGGGCGAAGCGTACGCGCTTGAAAAGTCCCAAATGGAAGGAGATTCATCAGAGAAAAAGGATAGCGAGGGCTTTATGTTGCAGGCTACCACTGGGAAAGGTCACTTCCATGGCTGCGACAGAATGGGTCGACCCATTTGTGCTATTCGAGTACGAATTCATGACCCAAGTACCCAGACTCAAAAGGGATTGAACGACTTCATCATTCAGTGCATCGAGACTGTTCGATTACTTCAGGTTCCGCCCGTGGAATCCATGGCGATTGTCTTCGATCTCACATCGTTCACGCTTGGAAATTGGGAGTTCCCTCCGGTTAAGTTCATCATCGACTGTTTCCAGGAAAACTATCCTGAGTCTCTCGGCGCGATGATTTTCTACAACGCCCCGTGGATCTTCTCCAGCTTTTGGAAAATGATCAGCGGTATTCTTGACCCCGTGGTTGCCGCCAAGGTGCACTTCATCACTGGTGCCAAGGCTCTTGAAGAGCTAATTCCTCGCGAGAATATTCTGAAGGAACTTGGCGGAGAGGAAGACTGGGAATATGAATATGTGGAGCCTGTTGCTGGTGAAAATGACAAGCTGAACGATACTGCCGCCCGGGATACCATTCTCGCAGAAAGAAATAGCCTTGGTGCTGACCTTTTCAGTCTAACCACCCAATGGATCGCAAATCCTAAGACAGACTTGGAAAGCCGAGACCAGGTAGTTGAGAAATTGCGCAAGAACTACTGGGATCTTGACCCCTACGTCCGAGCCCGGACTGTTCTGGATCGAACAGGGGTGATCAAGGGCGACGGAACTGTCAATTTCTACCCTGCCGCGAAAGGCGAGAGCACGGAGAAGCCCACAATAGCGGAGAATTTGGATGAAACGCCAGTTCCGGTAGCTGCATGATTTCGGAGCCCAGAGGCGTCTTTTTGGATGGAGTTTTGTCCATACTGCGGGGCTGGCATTGCTTGTGATACGATATTACCTACTTCTGTTTGGTTTGATATAAGAGTCAGTCCGATGCGTGCTGTGACCTACTTGGCCTTTTTGATTTGCTATTCTCTTTCTGTCGCATGTAAAGCAACCCTGTTCAATATATGAACCCACCACTGTTATCTTGTTTCGCACTTGCGTGGTCCACGTCAATGTCTAGCATTAACGCATGTCTCTCTTGCTTTATGCATTAACGCTGGTGGCGTCTCAACGGCGGTCCAAACGAACCCAGCAAGTTACACATGATTGCCTGTCCTCTATGTCTTGGGAAAGGTGGCTGCAGGTCTCTGGAGTTCATCAAAGCTGGAAACCCCAATGAAGACTCAATTTTCAGAAGATCATTACGATAGAAAGGCCGACGGCCCGCTCCAGTGCACTAAATCTCGCTCCGCCCGCAGATGCATTAGTTTCATGTCTCATTGATCATGACACTTGGAGTTCCACATAGCCCTACTGTACTTACCCTGCACGGACGGGCTGATTCATGGATAAATTCTGAGGCCCAGATAAAATGTACTGTGTATTGACTCTAAGCGAAGCTGTTAGCTGCAGAAAGCTGTCGCGTCTTGACCATGCCCAGAAAGGGAGAGAGGAGCGAAGGTCTCGGTCCAATCATCGTGATTATTGTCAATCCAAAAGCAGGGTTGCAACGTGCCAAGATACCGTAGTCGAGGGATCTACACTGGTGGCTAAAATACAACACAGCTTGTGATACGATATCCTTGTCACCCAGCGTTGGCCGAACTAGAGGATTCGATAAAAATACCCATGGATGTCATTTAAATCATCTGTTCCCTTCGCTTCGAACTAAGCTTAGACCTACTCGCGGCAGAACTTTGCAAGTATGGCACCAATTTCGATTGATATATTGAACATTCCCCTCTACGGTCTTGTAGCTGGAGCTGTTGCTTTCATCTTCTTGTCTTTGAAAGCCCTGCGAGAGTTCCAAAGTATGAAGTCTTCGGTTTCTAGAGATTGATACCTTAGAGATGCTAACCTCTAGTCAAGGTTGGAAGTATTCTCGGGATAATGGTTGCCAGCCGCCATTGCATAGTGTCTCGCATGGCCCATTTGGTATCAGTATGATATTGTCATTGGTCAAGGCTGGGCGTGAATACCGCTTTACCGAGCTTATCCGTGGCTGGCACAGGGCTTACGGCACTACATTCAAAGCGAATATGGGGGGCCGAAAAGCCATCTTCACAGCCGAGCCCAAAAATATCCAAGCTGTTCTGGCACATAAATTCAAAGACTTTGAGCTAGGATCTATCCGCAACGAGGCAGCACGTCCATTACTCGGCTCGAACGTCTTCACTACAGACGGCAGAGAGTGGGAGCACTCACGGGCTATGCTCCGTCCCAACTTTTCTCGCACTCGCGTCTCCGACACGGACATATATGAGTCTCACGTTGCCAAGCTCATCAAGCACATTCCCCGGGATGGGTCCACGGTTGATCTGCAGGATCTGTTCTTGAGAATGGTGATTGTACTCGAACTCCACTCACGTGTATCTCGCTAATTAAAGACAGACCATCGACACTGCGACTGAATTCCTATTCGGAGAATCGACCAACTCTCTTGAAGATCTAAGCTCGTCATCCCCTGGCTCCATATTTGCCAGAGAGTGGAATCTAGCCCAGGAAGGAACTGCAACTCGTTTACGAATTGGTCCTCTGATGAATTTCTACCCCAATCGGAGATTCTGGAAGGCAATAAAGACATCCAGAGATTACGCCGAGCGGCTGGTTCAGAAAGCAATCGACTATCGAATTGCTGTCAACAATGGTCAAGAGGTTCCTAAAGAGGTCCAACAGCTAATGGATAAGCAGTACGTGTTTTCCTATGAGCTTTCAAAGGAAACACTCGACAAGAAACAGCTCACGGATCAGTTACTGAGCATTCTGCTAGCTGGTCGTGATACAACTGCCAACACATTGAGCATAACCTTCTTCCACATGGCCAAACAACCTGAGATATGGAACAAGGTTCGACAAGATGTACTCGCTCTGGAAGGACGACGACCGTCATTCAACGATTTGAAATCAATGACTTACATGTCATGGGTTCTAAATGAAAGTAAGTCCACACAGTTCCATAGCATCGCTCACAGGATACTAAATCCGTTTAGCATTACGCTTGTATCCTATTGTCCCCTTCAATCTTCGAATGGCAAACAAAGATACACACCTCCCTGTCGGCGGTGGCCCAGATGGGAAGTCCCCCATCCATGTTCCGAAGGGTTACGAAGTTATCTATAACGTATACACTATGCACCGATCGGCTGAGCTTTACGGGCCCGACGCTGATGAGTACCGTCCTGAGAGATGGGAAAAGTTGAGACCTGGTTGGGGGTATCTCCCATTTAATGGCGGTCCTCGGATCTGCCTTGGGCAGCAATTTGCTTTAACTGAGGCTGGGTACACCATTGTTAGAATTATGCAAGAGTTCGAGGCGATGGAAAGCCGTGATCCGAGCCCCTTTGTGCAGGACCTGAAGTTGACTATGTCAAGTGCTAATGGGGCAATGGTTGGATTCACGCCTGTCCCGGTTTCCTGATTGCAGGTGGACGAGTTGCTTTTGTTAGCTATTCTTATGTTGATGTCTTCGGTGCTCATAAGTTGTACAACCTGGTACATGAATCAGATCCATCTACGAAGTTTTAGGTCGCGGTCTCCCTTCTACAGACAAATAATAATTCGAGGTGACAGGGAGTTACCTGGCAAAGGAGACCCGCTGTTGGTGCTCTGACTATGTTGATCAATTGTCTTCAGTATTGTCTATAAATTGGAAGGACTAGTAAAAGGGCCTACCAGTTTATGTCCGTACAGTAGGTAAACAACTCTATTGCGCGCCAGATCCACGACTGCTTTAAATTGTCTAACCAACTATAACGAAATGCAAGCTTCGCTGTAATCTTGAAATTAAACCTTTCGGCCATGCGAGTTTAGGTACACCCTGGCCTTCAACCATGATCAGCATCGGGGCCACCCGCGGAAGTGGACCGAACGTAACTAGGCCTAACTTGTACCGATTCCTACTGGCTAGAAGAGGTTGAATTCAAACTTTGTCGGTTGGGTAGTGAGGTAGTCTGACTCGCTATATGCTTTTAGACTTTGTGGAATCTCACCTGGATGGAATACGAGCTCTCAGCCCAAAAAACCCCAGCCGCATAACTCAGCCGACAACGCAAGATGGTTCGTCCCTAGTCGTGCTAGTCCTATCGCTTGGATGATCCGGTATAATAAAACTCAGCTTTGAATCATTTGACGACGCACAGACTAGTTCTCATATGTCCGACCCTGAGTGGACGGAATAGTCGCTAACCATCACCCTTCTTGTTTCGCACCAAAATTCTGGAATATAGATAAGAAGTAGACTAAGCTCCATTTATGGAACAGAATAGTTCCAACAGCAATACTCACATATCTTGGGCATGTCTCTTCCTCGGTCTCTGCAAAATTTGCAGGCTTTGCCCTTGCGGGCCATCGATGACAAGTCGCTCTTCCCTCAGGGTCGATTCATTGTATCTGCACCAGCTACAAGGGATGAAAGTAGCCCTCTAGTTGTCGGGAAAGGATCTGATGCTGTGACAAAAACGTGGTTCAAAACACCGGTTCGTACTTGTGATATGTTGTGCTCGAGACATAACACTGACAGGTTCCATGCGAGATAGCCCCTTAATGAGGCTGCTATAGAAGCATTCCAGAGTGTTCAACTTTTCGCCGACACACACGATCAAGGCTGGGTAGATGATCGTGCGCTCGGGAATTGGACGTGGTTGGAGATAGCCCTCTATGAAAATGAGTCAACTGATGCTCCTAGGGTCAGGGAAGGCGTTGATTTGGTATGGCAGAGTCATAAGAATGATATGGGATCGAAAGAGTATGAATGGGCAAGTAGTCCACCTCACATCTTGAATTGCAGTTACCGGGAGGGTGCCCACGCTAATAACCATAACAGCTGGGTGGTGAAATTCTTGCAGGAAAGCATGACTTACTAGGATTACTAGAAGTAATTCTGTCTTTAGAATTTATATTAGCGTGATCCTCTGCTGGCATGGGAATAGGTTGGAAATTGTATTGGAGCTCGGGTGTGTGCCCGTTATACCGGCTGGGAGCTGTACGGTAGAGCTGCATGCCTGGTGCTCGAGATGGGACCCCCCACAATCATCGACACGCCTCCTAGCTATGCTCAAGTATTCGAGGATACTATTGCAGTGCAACAAATTTTGAACTGTGTCAACTCCAACAACTCGGCATATGCTCCTAAAATCAAAGCAGCATGGGACCGTGCCGAGACCTTTGCTGGTAATGAGAAGCGGCCTCTCCGCGTTTTGGCTCTTGGTGAGACTCCTTTGATTATATTAAAAGCCGACTTCTTATAATGACTAATATTTTTCTCAGATGGAGGTGGTGTTCGAGGCTATTCCTCCTTGATGCTACTGAAAGAAGTCATGGACCGAGCAGCCCCTAAACAGAAACCCTGCGAAGTGTTCGATATTATCGGGGGTACTAGTACCGGCGGGTGAGTAGTCGCAAACAACTTCACTTGGCTGTTCTCTTCAAGAGAATCTGACATTGACTGAAACAGTTTGATTGCTATTATGCTAGGCCGGCTGAAGATGACTGTCCAGGAATGTCTTGACGCATATGATTCAGTAATGAAAGATGTCTTTGGCTCCGGCTGGCTACACACCCATATTGGCAAGCCATTGGATTACCTTACCAAGGGCGAGTTCTACTCTGCTGGGCAATTGGAGAAGGTAATTAAGGATCTGCTTCGCAAAAGACTTCCAGCAGGTCAGAACGCAGAGGACGCCCCGCTACTGGATGAAGCAAATCCGTGCAAAATGTAAGAGATTTCCTCTGCTTTATTCCATCATGCTTTACAGGAATAGTTGGGCTAATAATCGAAATCCAGCTTCTTGATGGCAACACGCGAGGAGTCAGGCAGTAACCGTGGACCTGTCTTTCTTCGCTCTTACACAAATGACCTAGCTGCCCCGGATCCCGATCTATCCAAGGTCAAGTTATGGGAGGCTGCTCGCGCCACGTCCGCAGCCCCGGGATATTTCCAGCCTATTCAAGTTGGCAGAGTTAAGCTTGTAGACGGCGGTCTACTAGCCAATAACCCCCTTGGATGGTAGGCTATTGAATTTATAGAAACCATTTTGCTACGACTAACTTTTTGCTCTCTACAGGCTTTGGACTGAGATTCTCAGTGTGTATGGTCCAACTCGTGAGACAGACTGTTTCCTCAGTATTGGCACCGGGATGGGTGCCAACGTGGCAGTCGCTCAACCAGGTCTCGACTTTAAAAAAGCGATGCTGAGCTTTTCGGATATTGCAACCAATACGGAAAGCACCAATATTCTTTTCCGGGCAATTGTTGATGCATTTGCGCCTCATGCCCAGACGAAGAAATATTATCGGTTGAACGTCAGCAAGGAACTTCCTGAACCGACAGACCCCAAAGGCATTCTCGGCTGGTTAGCGGGAAAGCAAGCGTTGAAGGGTGTACTAAACAACTTCGAAGATCCAGGGTCCCTTGATGACGTGGATGCTATCCCAAAATTGAAGGAGTGGACTGCAGAATGGATCAAGGCGCAACAAGATATTATCAAATCCTGCAGCGAGGCACTTGCGAGGAATCTCTAACTTAGCTAACAACTTCTTGAAAGCCTTAATTTTAGCCTACATGTATTAGGTCAATGAAATAATAGGGTTTACGGCAATGGAAGAATGACCTGCTTGTTTCTTTGTGGATTCCATCGATATTTCTAGAAGCATAGCATCAGTCGCTCTCATAACCAACATCCTGCAGCGACCACAATAGATCGTAGTCATCATCAGGGTTATCCACATTTGCGGAATTAGGTATCGTTTCCATGATTCCCTTGAGCTCTTTCAGGTTAGATGATCCTGACTCGTAATGGGCCATCAATGCATCCACCTGCCTATCAAACTCGTCACTCTCACCCTTCTGGTATCCCCTGATACACAAATACTCTAGACTGTCAGGGAGACAATCTACTAGCATAGGCGTTTTACCTCTTTCCATAGTTCCACTGACGCTGACTCCTCTGGCAAAATATAACAAAAATTCGAACCCCAAGCTCAGCTTCTTCAAAGACCCGAGATCCTTCAGCGACCCGCTGTGCACCCATATCGAGCGTAGAATTTTGAGCAGGGCGGGGTCCTCATCAGTCTCAAATGGACTCCCATATCGATCAAAACGATCTTCCATGTATTCGTAGTCATTTTCGTCTCCTACAACCCCTTCCAGGTGGACGAAATCATCAACGTCAAGATCAAGAACCTCCAGGGTTCCTTTGTGCCCTAAAATCGATTTGATGATTGCCTTGGGATTGACCATCGGGTTCGATCCATCGCTGCTTGCCCTGCCTCCCATTGAATATTGGAACTCTCTGAGGGCTCTGCACGATGATATCAGTTGAACAAGAGTCGTGGAGGCAACATGTGAGTGGTTAATTGCGATCCTGCTAATGTTTGAGGGTCTATCAAGAGTTCTTTCTCCATTATCGTCCTCCTTAACGATATCTGCCCCGATAGATTCGATAGATGGAAGTTGATCAAATAAGGCCCAGCAACTGAGCAAGTCCATTTCAACGAAGAAACGACCATCAGACCAGCTACTGTCGGATTTATTGATCAGGTATACCTTCCGCAGATTTTGAAGGTAAGGTTTTGTTTCGGGGCTCGCATTGGTTTGACGAAGAAACTCAACAAGTGGATATGGCCTCGTCTCTTGATAGTTGTGAAAGGGCTGTGTTGTGGCCATCGAAGTAAGGTTGGGCGAGAGCGTAATGAGAATTGCAGTTAGAGCTTGCGCAATTAGTGTGCCAAGCGTATCACGGTATCTGTCCGCATAGTTAGTCAACTGTCCAAATAGCTCCGATCAACCGATTCCTACTTGTAATATCCATATTCGCCTGTCGCATCTTCCATTCTCTGCATAAGAATATTGACGATGCGATCCTCGCTGGAGCCCAAGAACCCAGCTTTCTTCACAGCCTCTCGCACGAGAGCCGTGTCTTCATCGCTCAATCCGCGCTGGGGTGCAGCCTCTTTGAAGTCCATATGACAAGATGTCGCTGAGCAGGACTCAATGTGGCGCACGTAATGTCCCAGACTGGGCCGTTTCAATATATTCATAAGCAGTACGAATGCCGCGTCGAGGCTCTCGTCGTTTGAATATATGCTGATTTTATCATAAACCTCGCGTGTTGGCATGTCGCACATCGAGTGGAGAGCCCGACATTGGATTGACAAGGCGGCCACATCTCGGGCGGAGTGGAGGTAGGATAGGATCTGCTGATGAATCTCAAGAGGAAGCCCGAGAAAAGACATGATGAATATCCAAGGTGTCTTGGGGGTCGCACTTCATTTTAAGTAAGCTGTGGGAGTCAGCCGCCCAAACAGGCATAGCCTAGGCATCTACTGTGCTGCCTGAATCTTTGTCTTGGCGTGAGGCTACACGTCGACGTTATGTAGATGTAGCTCGAGCTGAGACAGATCAAGCAGTTATCACGCGAGGATTGTAGTTACGGTTTAATGGTATTTTGATGATAGACGTTGATGTAATGGGTTATTGTCTCCACGGAATCACTTACCTTTCCTGGACCGCGGGGTGTGTCTATATAAAAGTCCCTCACTCTGCGTTACTTTTCTTTGAATTTGACACAGTTTCAAAACTACATCTATCCTAAAAATGACTAAAATCTTCCTGTAAGTTGTATTCCTTTTGCTACTGGCATCACAGTCGTTTGTTGCTAACTTGAACACCAGCACTGGTGCCACGGGCTACGTCGGAGGCCAAGTCCTCCACGCTCTGCAGCAAAGCAACACTAAATATGACATTTCCGTCCTAGTGAGAGACGCAGAGAAGGCCAGTAAAGTCTCTGCTGCGTATCGTCAGGTCTGCATTGTCCTCGCAGATCTAGATAACAGCAAAGTCATCGAAGATGAAGCGCGCAAAGCCAACGTTGTTATTCGTGAGTTGCCTGGTCATTAAATTTCATATCTTATTCCTCATGTGGTTTTTGCAGATGCTGCTAACAACAAGCATATGGAAAGTGTCAAAGCGATCGCAAAAGGTCTAGCAGGACGTCAGGATGGTATGCGCCCGACCATATATGTTGGAAATTTGATACCAATTGTAACTCAATTGCAGCATACTATATTCAAATCACCGGCGCTAGTGTCCTAGCATGTCCCGAAATCGACAATTACTCGTATGGCGAGCCCTCGGATCAGATCTTCGATGACCTTGACAACGCCGAAGCTCTCCGGGACTTTATCCGCGCTTACAGACATCGTCGACCTGTTGAGAACTACATTCTGGACTTGGGTTCTGACGGTCCCAAGACTGCCATTATCTTCCCCCCAATCATCTACGGAGCTGGACAAGGTCCAGTCAACCAACGGAGCATTCAAATCCCATCCTTGTCCCGGGCAGCGCTGCAGCAGCGTGTCGGTTTATACCTTGGCAGGGGACTTAGTCGTTGGGGTACTATCCATATCTTTGATCTGGGCAAATTATTCGCAGATCTAGTACAAACTGCTGCGAATGCTACCGAAGGTCCTTTCTGGAATGATAATGGTCTTTACTTTGCAGAGAATGGCATCGAGGTTGGTAATCACACTTCTCTACGGATTTGATCTAGAAATATCTTGCTGACATCCTGCCTTCTTACAGAGCTTCAAGGATGTGGCCTCGGTGATTGCCAAGGAGGCGCATAGCCTTGGCTATCTTGACTCGGCTGATTCAGTACGCTCGATGACTCTTGAAGAGGCAAACAATGTTATTCCGCATGGAGCCGTGGTCTTGGGTACCAATGGCCAAGGAACGGCTTCACGGGCCAGGAAGCTTCTAGGATGGCGGCCGGCTGGGGAAGATTTCCAGAAGGGCGTGCGGAACACCATTATTGCCGAAGCAGCACAGCTATAACTGTTTCTGAGTGCCTCCACGAAGTATGTACTCTATGAACAGAGGAAAAGGAAATAACAGTATCTATGTCCATTGACCTAAAACAAACTTTTGAACACAATCGTAATGATATCATGAAAGAGACGCAGCGGAGTAAACTCTGCATCAAAGCACAAAAAGAACAAAAAAGAAAGCCCTGAGTCAACGGAATCACCACAGCGTCGGGTATTATGAGAAAAGCATCTAGCACCAACCAAGCACGAAGGGGCCGAAGACTAGCTAGAAAGATGAACGGCAGGAAAGAGCAGATGGAAGAAAATAAAATGGTTCACAAGAATGTAAATCCAAACCAAGTAATATGAAACGACCCCAAAAACATAACACCAGGATCTGCTAGAGGCCACCCTCTTTCCTTTCCACCGAGAAGAGATCAAAGTCTTTGCTTTATCTCTTCTTTCCCCATCCCGAGCGGTTGTTGCCTCTCGGGGCCTTGCCAGGGTTGCGGCGCTTCTCAACCCGGCCACCACCAGAGGCACCAGCAGTCTTCGGGGCACCCAGACCACGACGACCAGGACCCTTGCCTGAGCCGGAAGCGCGTACGTCTTCCTTGAGAGCATTTTCGTCATCGAGATCCATGCGGTCACCTGCGTTCTTCTTGGTCGACTGACCCATCTTCACCTTACCCTTCTGGCCACGGCGGACAGCGTCAGGTCCGCTCACGGCAGCGAGGTAGGCGTTGATACCACCAGCCTCCCCGGCACCGGTCATCTCAACATCTTCGGTAACGGCATCACCATCATCACCGAAAACAAGACGTCCGTCAGCATCGACCTTGGCAGAGCGCTTCTTCTTAGAGCCTGGTCCGGTGTTGAGGAAGCGTTGGCTGGGCTTGGTGGTGGAGATACTGGCCAGGGCGTTGGAGCCAAGCAGATCGAGGGGGTTGTCTTCGGGCGACATCTCACGGATGTACTGGTTGCTCTGGCCGGCCTTCTTCTTGCCGCCGGCACGGCCCTTGATACGGGCGAGGTCGTCCACGTCAACGTCACTTCCGTCGTCGTCGGAGCCCTCATCAGAGGAGTCGGAGTCAGAGCCGTAGACAGCCTTGTCGAAGGCGTTACCGGCTTGAGGCTTGGCGGCCTTCTCCTCGCCTTCCTCGTCGTTATCGCCTTCGGCGCCCTCCTTCTTCTTGCGCTTGTTGCGCTCACGTTGCTTGCGGATGTTGACAACGAGCTTGCGGTCATCCTCGCCAACGAGGCTCTCCAGCAGAGGAGCACCGAAGCGGCGGACAAGTCGATCGATGATACCCTTGACCTTGCTGCGGAGACGTCCCTTGTGTTCCTTGTTCCAAGCCATAAGGTTGGGAACAAGCGTGCTCAGACGGGGACGCAGCGCCTCATCGGGAAGAACGACCACGGCAACCTTGACGAAGCCAAGGACGGAGCGAACAATCTCGCGGTTGCTGGAGGTAAGGAAAAGCCCAACGGTCTCGACAAGCTCGGTGAGCATTGCAGGCTGAAGCTGAGTCTGGAAGTCGAAGAACAGTCGCGACAGAGCGGTGACAGAGGCAGCCACCATGTGGGGTGCGGAACCAGCAAGACCGGCAGAGACCATAGTGAAGAACTCCTCAATGGTAGCGGGGGCATCCGGCGAGTCGTCAGGCACACCAGGCACAAGGGATCTGCGGATGACGGTGCCGGGCGGGTTGCGCTCGGGGTCAATTGTGCGCTTGGCCAAGAGAATCAGGAGGTCAAAGGCAGCAGTGCGTGCCTTCTCGTTGCTCTCCTTGCAGCCCAAGACGACCTCTGACAGGATTGCAGGGATGAAGTGCAGATCTGAGGTAGGCAGGTGAGTAATCATCTCGTGGATAGCAAGCATGCGGTCACGGCGGCCTGATGCGGGGGTGCTATCTGTGGTGGCGAGCATCAAAGTCTGGAGCTCTCCACTGCGCTCCTGGAGCGCCTCACGGCCTGTTTCGGTCGATGCGAGACGAGGGATCAGCTTGTATGCCTTCTTGATGAGTTGCTGATCCGGGTTGGGGGAGGAGCTGTTGAGGATAGCAGCCGCCAGAGCAAAAAGACCACTGAAGCTGGAGCGGGGGAGGTAGATTGACATAGCAATAACCAGGTCAATCAGGGTGTGAGAGGTAGGCGGCATTTTGTCAGATGAGCCCTGGGGCTGGGCACCCTGTTTGGCCGCTGTCTCTTGCTCAGCAACCAAAGAAGACTCAAGCATTGAGGTAACACGGTTGAAGGTGTCATTCAGCTCCTATAAGGATGTTAGACGTCCCTGAATCAAATGCGAAAGGCCAAGGATAACTTACGTTCTCGGGGGTAATGCTGAGGTAGACATTGATACACTGCAGGATGTAACCACGGTAGTGGGGAAGCGTTTGGCTGTACACGTTGAAGAGCACAGCCAGAAGGTTGCTCGCAAAGGTGCCGAGGTGAGCCAGGTTCTTGGCGGCGGCGGCCTTGGTGATGCGACGTTGCAGGATAAGATCGTCTTCTTCCTTTTCGACTGACAAGATGGCCTGGTTTGACTCAACTAGGTTCTGCAGAGCACGGCAAACATCGACACGCAACTCAGTCTGCTTGTACAACACATTTGATAGCAGCTCAGCGAAGCTCTGGTCAAATGCTTCCACAAGGTCAAGAGGCAGCTCGCAGTAGCCGGGAAGAACATTCCAGGTCTGTTGGACTAGAGTTTCGAAGATCTTCACCTCCACGGACTTCTCGGCAGCTCCGAAGGTCACCACCTTTTGGTAAAGGGCTTCGCTCAGAGGAACGAGCTCGGTACGGAAGTGGCGCAGGTTGGTGTTAGTTACATTGTCGCGCATGATGGGCAACATCCAGACACGGCCAGGCTGACCGGCCTTTTGCTCTATAATGTTGAGAGGCAAGATCTGCAGGACAGCCTCGGGGCCCATTGCCTGAATAGCACTGCCAATAACAGCATCAGCCTCCTTCTTTCCGTGGAAGGACTCATTGCTGCGCAGCTCTCCGACTGTGGAGACAATCTTGTCAAGGTAGGGGCTTGATCGCCACTTGTAGCAGTCAAACATGGCGGAGCAAACATTGAACACTTCCATCCAAGCAGCCTGGTACTTCACAGAGAGCAGATCTACGGCTCCACGAGCCAACTTCTCCAGAGTCTTCTCATCATAGACGGAGGGGTCCACAATAACGCTGTCTGGGATACAGTTGTGAAGGAATGAGATTAGACATTCGGAAGCAGAAACACGAATGTTGTTTGAAGGCGAAGTCAAGAAGCCAGCAATCAAGCCGAAAAGATCGGGCAACTTCTCAAAAGTATCCTCGGGAGTAATCTGGGCAGCCACATCGTATCCGCGGGAGAGCACAGCAATCCAAGGTGGGAGAAGCTGTGAGTCGTTCTGAGCAGGCTTGAGTTCAGAGATGGCATCCAAAAGACGGGGCAGCTTCGAGGAGGAGATCTCGTCTGCCATTCCCTCGAAGATCACCTCGAACACCTCGAAAGCACCCATGGTGATGTATTCGTTGGTAGAACGGGATGCGTTCATCAAAAGCTCGCAGAGCGGCTCGATCTTCTTGCTGGGCCAGCCACCGGATGCCGAGGCAATAGTCTTGATGAGCTGCAATGAGTGAATAATGAGCGGCTCTTGGTTGTCGCGCTGCGCATCGTGACGTCCCTTCTTCTGCTTTGACACAGCCGAAATGCTATCACCCAGAGACTTCATTGCAGACTGGGCGCACATATCCGCACCGGGGTGGTCGAGAGAGGGGCTCGGTGGGGGCGCCTTGAGAACCTTGACAAGTGCCTCCTGGGCGCGCTTGCGGACCTTAGGCCGGTGGTCAACTGAGAGACTCAGCAGACCTGCCATTGCGCGACGCGGGCCGACCTGTGTGTGAGGGAGATTCCATGCCGCGGCATCCTGGGCGATGAGCAGAGATTCAAGGCAGCCGATCGACGGACGCAAGAGTGGGGCTTCGACCTCGGGCAGAGAAAGTGCCGGCGCAAGGCTTTCGAGGATCTGGGAGAATTTGGAGCAGAGGATTGGGGCGGGAACATAGACAGTTATGACATCGAGGAGGTAGACGACGGAGGTCGCAAGGTCTTTGTTGACGATGCCTTGCGAGGCGGTCAATGACTGCGATAGCAATGCAATGAGAGCGGCGAAATATGCGGTAGGCGAGAAGTCTGCCTTCTGATCACGGAGAGTATCTTCAACTGCAGACAGCACCACAGCAGTCTATGTTCATGGGTCATGCGTTAGTGTAAATTGACCGGGTATGCAGCGGGGGAACTTACATGATGCTGGTTCTGCAGCTTGGGAGACTTGATCTTCTCAAGCTTCTCCGCCAGAGTCGCCATGATGAACGTGGACGACGAGGTGAAGAAGATGTTAAGAGAATGAACAATCTGTGGAGGTGGTTGATTGGCCTCAAAAGTGTTTGAATGCACCTAACTGTTGCTGAAAAAAATTGTCGAGGAAGAGAAAGATACCGCCGGCATTAAGTAGCGGTGAGGTGGGCGGTGGGGTGTGACCAAACCTCACTTGGACCTATTGCAGACATCTATAGACCACATGTGTTTTGGCGCAAACTGCCAGCCAGTCGTTACTGTATGCTTTGCAGATTTTTACACGTCTTTTTATCAGTTCTCGGCGTTTCCCTGCATAACTATGTAGCTTTGTCCCAAATCCACTCCATGTGCGAAAGACATCATATCCACATCCGCGACCCCTAAGGACAGATATTCAGCATAGCGCGTTTCATACAAAAGGAGTCGTAATTATGTACACACTGCCATGAAAGTATTGGACATTTTCTATACGAAAGCCTCGAAGCGGGTGTACCGTTTCCTGCACTGTCTTCACACTACTTTGGCCTCTTTTTGTCACCACTTTTTTGCCCATTTTCGAGTGCCTCGGGTTAATCATCTAGGTCATATAAAGGTGGGGTTATAAATGGATTTATGACCTTGTTGTACAATGAAACGAAAAATCTTACGACGCGCCAATATCTTCTGATTGAAAGAGGCCGAACAGCTTGAAGCATACCCACCCCGGGGATATCACCTTGCCCAAATCGACAAGCTAACGGATGGCCGCTGTCGAATTGTTGACCAGCTCGGCTACGGAGCATACTCGACTATATGGTTGCCCGCGATCTGCAAAACACCAAATTTGCAGGGAGTCAAGATCACTAATGCTGACACCACCAATCACTCAAATGAAGCCAATATTATCTGCTCTTGGGAGCTCACCATCTACACTAGGGAGACCGTCTCTCGTAAATGAATTCTGCATCATTGGTCCCAATGGAAAATACAGGTGTATCGTCACTCTGCCGCAAGATGAGCTTGTGTGATGCCCAGCAGGCTTCACCGAGGAGATAATCCTAAGTGACTACGGGGTATCTTTCAAACCCCATGACGAGAAAAGGCTGCTTTCAATGCTCCTTCTCTCCTTATGCCACCAGATGCCAGATTCTTGGACGAACCGCTCTCTTTTCTTCCCATTCAAAGACATCCTCACCACACAGCAAATCTAGATCATTGGTATTTGGCCAAAACAGAGAAATGGTTCGATGAAGAGAAGCCGAATGCGATGCCTGAGATCTCCAGAGACCTTGAAGTTGTTCCCAGGACCTGGAGCCGGAGGTTGCATTGCTCCATACAAGAGCCTCGGGCTGATGCGGGCTGAGGCGGGCTTGCAGGTTCCATCGGAGGACGAGAGCAAGGCATTTGAAGAGATGCTTTGGCCGATGCTGAGATACCAGCCAAAAGAGAAGGCGACAGCGCAACAGGTATTGAAATCAGAGTGGACGAAGGGCTGTCTACTGGCTCTAGGGCTGAGCATCAGTGTTTCCAGGTCTGCCAAGGGAGGAGAAAGAAAGATTCAAGATTCGAGTGTTAGATCAATCTCGATGTTAGGATTCTGTACAATTTGTTTAGCTTTCGTAACTACCGATTCATTTGTAAATCTCAGATTATTTGTAGAAAAATGCCTTAGACGGGTTACAATTAGCAAAGAAGACCAGGAGAAAGGGTATCATTGACATTGGCCATAAACAATATTCTGAACTACATACATATATTACAAAAAATATCCTCCAGCACAAGAAGAAAGACAAAAAGGTGCCCGGCATCCCAACCCCTTAGGATGGCACATGGCTAACGAAAAAGCAAATGTGAAAGTACAAAAATGGGGTCAGTTAAAGATCATCATAGGGTACCATAAGGGATAAGGTCGACGTTAGATGGAACTCAAGATTCTTCTTTCTCTGGTTCAGGCTTGGCTTCCGATGCAATTGAGGCTACCTGCTCGGGCTCAGGTTTCGTCTCAGCTTCTTCAGAAAGCGTCGCTTCCTCGGTTCCAGAGGTGGTCTTCTCAGCGGGCTCTTCAGTCTTGTCATTAGCAGGCTGCTCAGACTCGGGCTGCGCCTCTTCTGTAACTTCAGAAGGTCCGGGCTGTCCAACTGCTTCTAGAACTTGATCTTTTGTTTCGTCGGCTGTCTCTGTGGCCGTTTCTTCTTTCTGAGTAGGTGGCTTGTCCGAGGCAGTCTCCTCAGCGGTCTCGACAAGCGGCTGTTGAGTCTCCAGGACAGAAACAGGGCGTTCGGGCGATTCCTCCAGAGACTCACGCAGCGACGACGGAATCTCTGGACTATCCTCCATATCCTCCGTGATAGTTGTAACACGGGATCCGGTCGAAGGGCTATGTTTGTGACGACGAGTGGTAGCCCCAGTGCCGAGGGCCGGGTCCAGACTCTCTGCGCCAGAACTAAACGAATTCTCATCTTCCTTGCGCAAAATTGTTAAACGCTTGGTATCCACTGGCTCTTCCTCAGGCTGAACTGCATCAGGGCCTTCAGCCTCCGAGGGAACCGTGTAGTTGTCATGCGGGATGAGGCCATACATGTCGCAAACAGTCTTGAAGAAGACGTACAGACCATCGTGTCCCTCCACCTGCCAAAACACATCGCGATGTTGGAACCAGGCGTGGGCGAAAATACGGTAGAGACGCCGGAAGACGTTCGTCAGGTGTCTCATGCTGGCCTGAGGGCCTCCGGCATTCTCGTTGCCTAGCGTGAGCCGACTCGGGAAATATTTTGGCGACGTGAGGGTGTTCATGGCCCAGTCCAAAGTGTGGCAGCAGTAATCGATCGCGCAACAAGATTTGGGAGGGTCGTGTACCGCGCAGAGATACTGCCACTCCGAAGCTCGCATCTCGGGGCAAGTCGTCGCAGAGCAAGGCGGGTCCTCAGCAAAGAAAGCGACGATGAGGTTATTAACTTTCATAGTGAGGAATCGGCAGAGTTCGTAAAGCCAAAGCGATCGGTCGACGCCCTCGGGGGGTTCCGCCAGTTGTACCGCAACCTGGCGGTTAATCGGGACCACGGTGTCAGATCCTTCGGGTTTCGTAGAGTGATGATATAGGGCTTTGAGGTGTTCCTGGAGCTGGAAAGGCGAGTCAAGCTACTCTCATTAGTATAGGCAAGTAAGATCAGTCAAGCGCAACTCACCTGCGAAAGGGGAATCAACGGCGGGCCAAATGCCATGTCGGCGGATTTGGTCCCGGGGCGGATTCTGCGCGTCGAGCCATCGTCTTCGCCCGCTGCAGCACCAAGCATTTGTTCCTCGAAAGCCTCCCCAGAAGGTGACTGGGGAGCGATCTGAACCTCCGTGAATGGAGGAGGGCTAGGAAGCCGCGGGGAGCTGGACGGGGACATTCCGGAAGTCATGACGGTAGAAAAACGAGGGCGCTAGATGAAACGAGAGAGCAAGGATAATACAAATGAGTGAAAGTTCCCTAGACGCCCTGTCAAAATCAAAAGAAACGTGAGAATATGGAGAGCATTGAAGCTGGAGATAACAAGCTCAGCTTCGACCATAACAACGGCTGACCGCCCGAGCCCTGTGCCCTAACATCCGTTCTTGGTGAAAACGTCACTGGGACTGATTCAGAAGTGCTCAACACAGGCGGCAAATTGTCGAAATTGGGAAGCATGAGCAAGGTGCATTAACTTACAATGCCGTCTATTTCAAGTAAATCTATTCTCTGCAAATGTAGAAAACTACGTTAACAAACCTTGGGCATCTGGAGTTCTGATATACTCCAAGGCGGTGTGGGGGAACTAATGCCGCTGTACAAATCAAGAAGTGAGCTTTCTCTCTCCAGACTGACACCAGAATATTCAATATATTCCTTGTTTATCAGACCATTACACTCTATTTGGAAACGGCGACAGAATGTCTAACAACTTTGAGGATGAGGACGCTCCTCCGGAGTTGATTGATGTGTCTGCCATGCCGGCAGATCAGAGATCTGTAGATGAAGCCCCAACAGCTCGTGTGCCGATCACTCTCGTAACCGGCATGTATAGATGGACAGCATTTCAGTTTACATTGAACTTCAAAGCTAATACATTGATTAGGATACCTGGGCGCAGGAAAAACAACCCTGTTGAATTACATCCTCACAGAGAAACATGGCAAGAAAATTGCGGTCATCATGAATGGTTCGTGAATTCAATCTACCACATATACAATAAGCTAACATGATATTAGAATTTGGCGATTGTAAGGCACTGCATCAAAAACACCCATAACTCACCTATTAACACATGCCACCCACAGCAACCGACATCGAGAAACAACCAATGTCAGTAAACCAGGACGGCCAGGAAGTAACCGAATGGATGGAAGTCGGCAACGGCTGCATCTGCTGCTCAGTGAAAGACTCAGGCGTAATGGCCATCGAATCCCTAATGGAACGCCGCGGCACATTCGACTACATCCTACTAGAAACAACAGGCCTAGCAGACCCAGGCAACATCGCCCCGATCTTCTGGATGGACGAAGGGCTCGGAAGCTCCATTTACCTAGATGGGATTGTCACTCTCGTCGACGCAAAGAATATCATGCATTTGCTGGACGAGCCTGCGGCCGAGGAGAAGGCCGAGTCGCATGACCAGTATCATGACCATGGTTCTGGGCCTGTGTTGTCGATGGCTCATATGCAGATCTCGCATGCTGATGTTGTCATCCTCAACAAGGCGGATCTTGTTACGGCCGAGGAATTGGATGCCGTGCAGGATCGTGTTACATCTATTAACAGCGTGGCTAAGATTCATGTCACGGATCATAGTCGCACGCCGCAGATTGAAGGTGTTGTGCTGGACCTGCATGCTTACGACCACCTGGCGGATTTGGATTTCAGTAAAAAGGGTCATAGCCATATGGATCCGGTAAGTTGATGTTAACCTCTGCTTTCCTTTTTCGTGTTCTAATCATCATCAGGCAATTTCCACCACTGCTATTGTCACACCACCAATCCCAGCTGATAAAGTCGACTGTGTTGATGCCTGGCTGCGTTCTGTTCTATGGGAGTCCACGTTCCCTGCACCTGCAAAGCCAGTCTCATCCGAGCCACATCCCAATGACTTCGAGATCCATCGGTTAAAGGGAATTCTGATTTTAAATGATGGTACAAGTCGGATCATCCAGGCCGTGCGGGATGTATTCGAAATCCGGGATGCGGAGCCAGTTGAACATGACAAAGAAAGGACCCAGCCACTTCAGTGCAAGATCGTATTGATTGGACGAGGACTTGGGTCAAGCGTAGACCCCTGGCGCGAGAGCTTTGAATCATGCGTGGCGGGCAATTGAACATATATCACTCAAGAGCTCAGGAGCCCAAGAAAATGAACCCATCATACAAGGAAGAACATACATGTAGTCTACGAAATCCCTGTTATAGAAACCCAATCATGTCATTCAATAATCGCATTGCCAAAAAAGAAAGAATAATACAGCCCTGTCAGTCGAGAGGAGGTAGAAAAAGAACCCATCAATATACATTGACTTCCGTATGACGACACCAAAACGCAAGAGGGCCTCCAAGAGAGAGAGAGAAAAGATCAAGCAAAAAAGAATAAATAAACAGCAAAAGAAACGAAAAGAAAACAACAAAGGAAATAACAAAGGGAAACAGAAAAGAAAAAATCACAAGGCTACCAAAACAGAATCCGATTAAAATCCGCCAGTATGCAAAAGAAGAAGAAGCAAAAAAGGACTTTTTGGTACTCCAGGATATTCGCCCGCCATCGGTGTAAATGCATGCTTGCAAGAGCTGAAAAAACACGAGGCATAAACTGTACAAGCAGAGCAAATCAAAAGGGTATCGAGTGCTCGGCCCCGAATATGGGGCTCGTTCGGACGAAAACGGTCGTGGCTTCGTTGGCAGTAGCCAATTTGGGCAAGATTGTTGTGTATAAATATTAATGGTCTTGCTTTGATGCATTGGCCCGTGGGAATTTCATCTGGTTGGGTGGCGGGTTGAAATTCCTGGGTTGCGATTCGCTGAAAGGGGGGATGTTTGGCTCTGCTGGCCAGGATTTGGTTGGCTTGGGGATGAAAGTTGAGCAGGAGGAGCCGCCACTATCTTTGCGGATGTGGTGCTGGTGTTGAGGTCTGCCAAAGCGGGGTTTATAGGCAAGGCGGACACGAACAGAGATGATTCATAGCCAGGTACTCTTCTCAATGTGTGTTTGATATTGGCCGTCTTTGTTGGTGGCCGAGGAACATCTTTCGGCTCGGATGTCTCAATGGAATGTGAGCTTGTCAACGAGGTGGTGCTGGGAGAGCTTGGTGCTCCTAGGTGAGGCATAAGTGGGTTGATAGGCAAAGCTGAGAGGCTGAGAGAGGCTGAGTCCGAGACAGTTGACACATCGTTGATATCGGTTGCTTTTCCACATGCCGGTTGCACATCCTGCTTTGGTGATTTTGCGAGAGGTGGATATGAGGAAAATGTAGTAGCCAGGTTGTCTAGTGAGGCGCAGGAAGGGCCCATGGCAGGATTGATAGGCAAGGCCGAGAGTGAAAGTGAGTTTTCTGAGTGTAGTTCCACTGATGTATCATCCGCTGCTGCAGTGTTTTCGGATGATGGTCCCACATCTCCTCTTGTTGGTTCAAGGCTGACGTTCGCTAGAGATGGGGTGACCATATCGCCAGGAGAAGCTTCGGGGTGCTTTAAGGCAGGGTTCAAAGGCAAGGTTGAGAGGAATAGGGAGGGTGATATTGTGACAGAAGGCTGGAGATCAACAGTTTCCGCACATAGTTCTTTATCATCCCGCCTAGGTGGCTCAGGGAGAGATGATTTCACCGGTGTTGGAGTATTCGGTTCGCGAAGGTAGTTCCCAGGGTAGCGTAGAGACGGATTCATGGGCAAAGCAGAGAGGAAGAGAGAGGATGTTGGATGTGGTGGCGTAGTGAAAGTAGGTTTAATACCGACCACTCCTGCAAATGGTCGATCCACGCCGCTACTCCTTGGTGGTGACGCAGGTGAAGTGTCAACCAGAGAGGTGTTTCGAGGGCCAGGAGTGTCAGGAGGGCCAAAAGCGGGGTTTATGGGTAGGGCAGAGAGGATAAGAGAGGATGGCGGGATTGCGGATGAGAGCGCTGGCGACGTTGGCTTGGTGTCAGTGCTCTTCGCACATGATTGATCTGCAGGTTCTTTTTGGGGTGGTTCATCAGGAGATGGAATGATTGAAGAGGTGGTGTGTGAGGTGTGTTCGTCAGTTTGAGGTTGATCACGAGTCGAGGTAGTCAACTGTTGGTTGGCGTAAGACTGTTGATTGTGCAGAAGAGCATCATCAAGATATAAGACCTCATCTGACAAACCCGGCTCTTCCGTTTTATAGTCGTGGAACCCATTGGTCGTCGGTGTTATTGTTGTCTGTGGAACCGGAAGAATCTCTTGTTCGGGGTTCTCACGAGATAGATCGGGCACAAAATCACGACTGGAACGATCAGAGACATCCATATAACCATGAGGATTGTGAGGTTCGTGATTCAAGGTAGATGAAGAAGATGGTTTGGATGGATAGTCAGCATCTCCATTGCATTCTGCAAGCGTGATGGTAGATCGATTTCCTGGGTCATGGTTATCAGCGAAGATAGGGTGTTGCAAATCACTGTATGCATTGTCCGCAAATTCTTTCTGGGGGGAGTATTGGTCGGCCTGGCGCATAAAGCCTCGAGGTAGAGCCAAACCAATCCCAGAGGCCGGAGGGTGAGCCCAGTTATGTTTGATGGGAATGTGCTTGAGGTCATTCGCAACAATCTCCATAGGTTGAACAGCGGGCGATGCCCTTGCTGTCGGGAGATCAGGGGGAAACATGAAGAGAAGTTCTTTCGCAGAGAGCCTGTGTCGTGGAGTTGGGCTCAAGCAGATGTCGACTATCCGCCGGTAGTAATCTGGCACCATCGCATCCTCGCCAAGGAAAAGTGGTCGTGGTTGTCGTTCAGGCTCATCCTCTTCCATCGCTAATGCCCACAGGGTCATTCCCAGTTGATAGAGATCAGTCTTGACTCCAATATACATAGAGATGCGCTGGTTGCTCTCGATTTTGGCGGCAATCTCGGGTGGCTCCCAGCCCACAGGACAACCTCTGCGGTTGATATCGATGATCTTTGCATTGTCGTAGGCGTCCACCACAATGTTCGCAAGTGTAAAGTCGCCCTGCACGTAGCCTGATTCATGGATCTCGCAGAGACCTTGAACAATCTGCCTAGCCCAGCGCTCGCGTCTCGCAAAGCTCGTTTTGCCGCGTTGCTCGTAAAGAATATCAACCAATGCGCCCTGTTCAGCATAGCTGATCAGCAAGCCTTTGACCACGTCTCGTCGTTCATCAACGACAATTCCCTCCACCTGGATGACACTAGGAGCACCATTGAGCGCATGCAGTGCATTGATCTCATAAAGGAACTCATCCACTGTGTCAGGCCCTGGAATTTCCTTCTTGATATAGGCCCGCCCACCGAGTTGGACCTTGTAAACGAAACCGGATAGATGCGACTCGAAGTGTAGAAAGTGTTCAGGGACGCATCGAGCGCCCCCCAAGTGACCGATGCTGGAGATAGGTGGGTATGGGATGGTTTCGTTTACGTCCTCCGTGACATGGACGTGCAAGCGGCCGTCAAGCGTCTCCAGCTTGAGATTCGTAACGGTATCATAGAATTGGATCTCGAGGAGGGATTCACGAATGGACTCGTAGATGCGGGCACATTTGTCGCGCTGGTATCGCAGCTCCTTCAGGTCTCCTTCCAGCGAGTCGGGTGGCGCGTGTCGGTAATCGCATGAAATCGTAACTCGTCGCCATCGGTTTGGGGCCTCCGCGTACGTCACGAAGAATTTCTCTCGCTCTGACCGGTCCCGGAAGTGCATGCTCAGGTTCAAAATCCAACGTTGTTCCAATTCCAACTCGAGTGTTTCCTCCGGTAGTTTCTCCTCCTCTGATTCTGATTCCACGTCCATATCAGGATAGGGGTCCCAGTCGGGGACCTGGGCATTTGGTTCGGGTTCCGATTCGAGTGACTCGACCGTGGTTGTAGGCGGCCCGATCCACTGAACCTCGGGCGCGGAAAGTCTGGGGCCCACGGCTGGGGGAGACCTTGAGCGCTGTGAAGTCAGGGGATCGCGGTCGGCGGAAAGGGCCCGGCGGTGTTGTGGTTCGGGGTCGAGGGGAGCGAGGCGATCGCGTTGCTCGGAACTCTGTCGTTTGAAGGTTGTTGTGCGAGGCAGCCCAACGCCGACCTTCCGTGAGATCCGACGAGTGATGTTATCCTGTTTCTCCTGTTTATCTTGTTTGGCGCGTGGGCTGTCGGCGGAGGCACGGCGGGGGGCGTCTTCCCCTGACTCTCGATCGTCGCGACCCAGCCATTTCCGCAGGCCCAGTTTATGCCACATGCTCTGCTTTGGGCCTTTTTCTTCCACCGGACAGTCGGCCATGGAGACGGCCATACGGCTAGTCGCTTCCAAACGACTCGAACCTGGCCGAATCTCCGTCCATAAGAAGTGCGTGAGACGTCAAGATGGAGCTCTCGTCCCACCGTTTCCCAAGCCAAGTTCCCTTCTCAAGTTCCTCGGTGTTCGGGGTCCCAAACGTGTCGCACAACGGTTGCAATAAGGAGGCTGGGAGTGCCCTGATAAAGATAAAATGGCGGAAAGGGAGAGATGTCGGTCAAGATCGAATTTTTTCTTAGGTATATGATTTTTTTTTTCTTTCCTCTCTATTTTTCCCTAGGCCAAAAACATAAATAAAAAAAAGAGTTGCCTGCAGCCGTTGATGCTGCAAGGCTTCAAGTATTTTGAAGCAAAAGGACCTTGCAGGGACCTCCAAGAGACAAGGGGAAAAAAATAAAGGAATATGATTCATCGCGCACAGATCAGAAATTGATGCGTTGCGGCCTGACACTCTGGGGCTGCCTGATACATGCCTGCCTATTCGCCAATCTATATGACACATTCCACATAACCATAAGCCATCTTATATTGTCAATAGCTTACAGGAACCTCTACTCATCTACCGTTATCTTCTCTGCAACCCTAGACTAGGATTATCAAGGGACTATAAAAAAGGATCTGGGAATCAGATATCCATTGTCTCTCCACATCATATCAGCTATACTTCAGTTCATGGGAGTCCCAATCTCAGAGCATCTTTCCAACTAAGAAGCCTCCGTGGTCGCACTGTCAAGATCAATCTCGCCGCCATCGTCAGCAGTTCCCATACACCCAACCAGGCAGGCAGCGCAGCGGGGCCGAGAAAGTGCAGGCGGCGGCACAGCCAGCCATGCAGACTTCCTATTTCTTGTTAGATATGCTACGCTCAGGATCAAGAGACTACATACAATCAAGACGCCCTGGATATTGTTAGCTGTGGTCTTGCCTTGGTATATCGGGGTCGAGGGTCGGGCATGTACTTACCCTTTTCTCAACGGCTGCGATAGCAGATGACCTGGCAATGGGCGAGGCAGCGACCACGCCGACGAGGGTCGGGAGGATGATACAGGTGAAGTGCACTGTGGTAGGTATTGTGCAAATGGAAGTGAGAAAGAGAAGAGTGAAGATGATGCGATTGATGATGCTTTTTGCTGGAGAAGCATCCTCCTTTTATACATTTTGCTCTATACGACTCGACCTGAGCATCTCGCAAATGCTACTCTGGCTGCACCCCTCACGACCCAATGTACGATACCGCGACTCATATCACAGGGACCTCATGATGGCCGGAGTTTCATCCGACTCTTGCAAGAACGAAGTCCATGCCAACACCAGCATATGCTGCGCGCACATGCATAGGCAGACCATTCAGAGAGTCTGGTTCTATATCCGTCTCGTCGCCAATGTTACATCGCAGCATCCTTCTTGGATCCTTCAATGCCATCCCTCCAATAATTTCATGAACAGGATGCACTTACTTCTGTCTAACTAGATATCCCACGGCCAGCCCATGCGCCAAGTGTAGGCGCCATATATTATCCTTGCCCTGGCCCATTGAGAGATCTGTAGCTGTTTGACTTGAAATTAGCGGCAGGGGCGGATCTTCTGTCAACGATGCGACGATGCAGAAATTCGGAGATGACTAACTTATTGGGGGCTTGTAAGACAGAAAATACCCCGGTGTGAAGTATAGGAATTGCTGTGGAGTTGATCCTGCGAGACTAGGGCTATACAACTGGATCTCGGAGTAACCTTTCTATGTCTAGATATAGATCTAGACAGCTTGTGAACAAATGCCCACGTCAGCTTTGTTGGATATGCATGCTAGCGTTGGCTGATAGGCCGTATTAAAAGATCTCATCTAGAATCCAATTGACAAGTCCTAAACAGTTTTCATTTCTATGAGACACATTCATTTTGGCAAGATGAAAGTCCACTTTGCCGCTCTTCTTCTCTATACATCTCTTGTTTCGGCGCTGACACAACCTCGAGTTACGTTACACCCTGCAATTACACCCTCAGGATCGCACTGGAAAAGAAGCGCAAGGGTTCCCGCAAACGAAACTATTCGCATAGATATAGCCCTCTCCCTCGACGGAGATAGATCGGAGAAAGCGGCCCAAGCCATTGAAAACATATCCCACCCCAATTCCCCAAGCTTCAGCCAACACTGGAGCTCCAAACAAGTCTCCGAGCTCTTTGCACCGCCCAAAGAAGAAATTCGCGAGCTCACAAAATGGCTCACTAACGCTGGCGTGCCGCGTTCTAAGCTGCGCCTTTCGCCAGACAAAAACCGCTAAGCCCAGCTAAGATATCAAAGAAGTTAGAACAGTAGCCAAAACCTGACATTATGTGAGCCCCCGCAGACCTAAGCACTTATATACATAGGTATACGCTTGCCATATTACCATACTAATCCCATTTCCATCCTCCCATTTCCCTTCAGCTAGTCCGAAAGTCAGTCTCATAACCGAAATACCCCCAAAACATGACAACTCGCGGAGAACAACAAGCCTACATGGCCCAGCACATTTCCAATCTCCAACAACAGAACCCAAATGCCGACTTCAAAGCCAGCGAGCAGTGGTGGACCCCAAGCGTCGACCTCGGCGCCGATCTCCAAGTATGCAGACACCTTTCTTCTCATCTAGCTGGCTAACCTACTATAGGAAACTCTGGGTCCAGCTGTCAACAATCAATTAAAAGCTTGCATCACAAAGGCGTTCGAGCGCAAGTGTTCACGGGAGGCTATGACCGAGGCACGGTAAGAAGCAAAGACGATTCTTGCTGGATATCCGGATATCTTGGAGCGGGTTGATACTATGATCTTCAGAAACGAGCAGCTGTGGGCGCAGGTGCATCAGTATGCTTTGTCGGAGGCTGAGGCTGGAAGGGATGCTTTTGGTAGTTGTGCGGCTAAGTGATCTCGACTTATTGATGTATGGGGGCTTCCGGGATCAATTATGCATCAAAGACTGTCTATATACTCTAGCCTCGCAATATCGGAAATACACATAAGAATGAGGATGGGACTCGTTTTCTTCTACTCTGGTATAGTACATTCTTCCAAGGACCGCAGCACTATTGGTTACAGACTACTCGAAACTTACGGATCTTTTGGATCTGCAGTCACGGATCCTCAGTGTTAAACCTTACCTGGCCCTCTAGATGCTTTTCTAAAAGATAAACCAGCCTATGGAAGCTTTGTTCTCAACTTCGATCTCCCCTCTTCCATTAATGACATTTCCCATTGTCTCACTGGGCTGGTTCAATTCTAGGCTCTTTTCTAGTGACACGGGTGAAGACCGGTACTCCATTTGCATCTAATGATCGAGGAGGGAGAGTTAAATATAGACCTTATTGACACCCTGACGAGAATTACAATGATTGGTCTCGAATGGTGTGCGCATAAAAAAGGCAAAAGGAGAATTGCGAGCAATTCGCCATTCAAAAATATGGAGACATGAATACTGTAGTCCGCGAGTCGTCTAGTATCTAACAGATGAATACAATCATGAAACCAGACGGGGGAAAAAAAGCCCAATCCCAACCCCATCTCAATCAATCGGCTCATTCTCCATCTCCCTAGCCAACATCTCAGCCTCAACCCTCATCTCCTCCTCACTCCTAGGCTTCCGCCCCTCATTATCAACAGCAGGGAATCCAGACCTCCTCCCAGACCTCGAAGCCGCCTCATTAGTCTTCACTACCCCGTCAGCGTGAGTCCCGGCCTCAGCATCTCTATATGTCTTCCCCAAATCCCCTTCCTCCCCATCAAGCAAATCATACACCGCATCTGTACCACCGCGATGATCCAAATCCGCCACTTTGCGAGGAATGACGTGTGCGTGTACATGCGGTACACTCTGGCCAGCATGCACGCCGTCCTGCACGGCGATATTTAAACTCGAGGCACCATATACGCGCTCAACCATGCGGCCGACTCGGCGCACTGTGAGGAAGAGATCGCTTGTTTCGGCGGGTGTTAGGTCTGCGACGCGGGGGACGACGCGTCGTGGGGAGACGAGGACGTGACCTGGGAGGATCGGTTTGAGATTTACTAGGGCGAAGGTGAGGGGTGTTTGGAGGAAGACCTGTGGAGGGTGTTAGTCCAGCTGTTGTGTTCGGTTGGATGTGCCTGGTTTGCGGAAGGGGAGGTGTGGTTGGAGTCTCGGGGTCAGCGGTGACACACCTGTGGCGTGACGATAAATGAGCCAAAGTAAATTGGCACAGTGGCGCCTTTCAGGGCTGGCATGGCTGAGGAATTGGACATCAGGTTGGGTCGGGGAAGTGATGTCGATGGGCTGATAAGTGCTTATCGATACGGTTAGGGTTGCGGAGCTCTAACTCGACCTCAACTTGGTCTATTCGAATATGATTATAGTGGCACATATGAAACGACAAACTCCCACACGACATATTTAGGCACTTGAGGAATAAGAAAGATAGTAACTGCTCAATTAACACCCTTACCGATTCCGACCTAACACTACCACGTTAACTTAGGATAAGTTACATATGATAGCTCTTTGGTTAGGTAAATAACAGCAACTTATCGCCTCCTGGCGTCCTTGGGCAATGTGCAAGGTTCTTTGTTGCACCCATACAGACACTCACCAATATAATGGCTTTGAAGTCCCTTGACCAGTATCTCTGCATATTTTCCTAAGGAGCCAGAATGAGCCTGTTGCAAGACTTTCAACCGCCAAGCAGAAAGGACTTGTTCACCATGGCGTACTCGAAAACTGGTCTGCCGCTGAAGTTTACGTATATTGCGAACAAATTAGTGAGGGATAGCACCTAGCCAGACAGCATTTCCGGGTTGTTTCATTTACAGTGCCGGTGACTGGCGCTGGCCTGCGCCGTGTGTGACTTTCGAGTTTATACGAAGAGATATTAAGTAAATAGAGGCAAATAGCGGTATTTCGGGCAACTGTTCTCTAGATCGAAGCCAGTTCCACAAGAACCCTAGGATTAATGATATCAAGACCGGGTATTAGCCGCACGCTAAGGTGTAAGTCTTCGTACAAAGGAAATAATAGTCCCTAAATGCAAGCATATATCACCATACCCTCCATCTACAATCATAGTACAAGCAAATACAGCGTCAAGTTTTCATTTCCTCATTCACAAACAGGTTTATCATAGAAAAAAATATCAAACATGTTAATCAGAACTTCATGAACCCAAGCAAACCCCGGATAAGGCAGCTCGGCAGTGTATCCCAATGTAGAGCCATAAGAAGTGCAAGAGATGCAAAGACAAAAAACTAAATACGATGATTACCCAGGGTAAGGTATAGACGCGACGGCAAAAACACCAAATCACGCCTATCGTCCATCCATAGGTATTATACATCGCATCGCCAGCAGTCTGAGCCCGCATCACCGTAGTTGAGATTCCATCCGAAACTCCAGAGCCGATGCTAATTCAAAATAAGAATCAGAATCAGAATCAAAATCCATCACGGCGCCGTCGCACAGTGAACCACATACTGTGCAGTACCACGTTCTGCCAACGCTTGATTCCCAGCAGGAGGACTTCGTATCTGATGCCCTACCGACGCAGACGCAGTTGCAGTCTCCTCCATTTCGGATAGTTGGTAGAGCATGCGAGCTGATAGCATAACCGAGAAAACGGTCTACAGACACAGATGTGCAAAGAACAAGGGATCAAAAGGGAAATCATTAGAACAGAATCTCGCCACTATGCTCAGGTTCGAAGCCGAGTGCTTGTAGCTCCTTGTACCGTTTCTTATCGCCCGTGTTCCTCTTCTCGTCTTCCTTCTTCTTGATTTCGAAGACTTCTTCGAATGATGCCTTGGTCAGGGTGGGAGGGATGTCGTCTTCGCGGTCGAGGTCCTGTGGGATGGGTTCGCTTATCAGTACTCGGTCCAGAAGGGAGAATCAAATTAAGGGTAAGGGCTCTTTCATCTGGACATACCACTTCGCCTAGAAGGAGCACGTTCTCTCCGCGGACGATGAAAATCCCCCGATTCACATCGGCGTAAAGACCGCCCGCGTAGATGCGTTCAATCGTTTCCTGGAAAACAAGGTTCGCTGCCAAAGATTATACGTGAGACAATGATCCAAAAACTGGAAGTTGTGCGACTGTCATACCGAACTGGTCCCAGCTTCGCAAAACGCCGATAAGTTTCCGCCCGTCGCGGAGGATGAGGACGAGTTTCTCTGTGGGGAGGTAAAGCTGTCAGCTTAATTCCTTGGTCCAAGCTAAGTCCCGGGTCTTCGCGTAGATCGACATACTATCTGTTAGGTCGAGCAGTTGTGCGGCGGTCGTGAACATCTGAGGCGGTAATTGCGGTGGGCCGCCACGTTCCTGGGAGCTAGCGGGGCCGAGGGCATTTTGCTGAGAGAATTGTTGCTGCTGCTGCTGAGGGTTGCGCTGCGCATTGGCAGGGCTTTCGTTTAGAGATAGCCGCTCCATGTCTGGGGATTGAGGTGGGTTGGCGGGGAAGAAATCGAACCCGAATCTGGGAGGAGGGGCAGAGGTTGGCGGAGAGGGTTAAAAAGAGAGAGAGGGAGGGAGGGGGAGAAATGAATAAAATCAGAGAATGAATCAAGCTGCTCTCATTCTGTAGACAGTCGCGAGGCAAGAATCGAAGTCGCAAAGGGCCGTCATCAAGGGCGGTGAGTTTGTCTTGTTTGCTCACCATCTATATAAGAGTCACTTGAACACTAGTGAATTCATAATACACATCTGACGTGTCGCAAACTGGCAAAAGTACATGCTATACAAAAAGGGGGAATATTCAGAACCAAACAGCATCAAACAAATTTACACAACAACACTCCTCGACTGCCCACGCATCCTCTGTTCCCTCCTTTTACTATATGGCGCACAATAAGGCTCATCAGCCGACCCAATACTCGCCCTAATCCCATCCTGCGAGCGATGATAAGCCGGACTCGACGGTGCCGGCGGCAACTGCATAGCTTTGAACTGCGCATCAGTGATAATCCGCAGCCCGTACAGATACCGCATCAACTCGAAATCCGGTCGACTCCCCGCTAATGTCTGGCCAAGCCGGTAATGCTCAGCAGCAACATGGTCAAGCATTCGATCCCAAGCTGAGGATGGACCAGGTCCAGCTCCCGGTCCAGGGCTTGCCATAACGATATTCTCGCTGCGGACAGACTCGCCGTCTTCCAGAACGGGCGATGATATAGGCTCCGCGATCCCATCGACGAACTTCATACTCGGGCAGAGTGGACATCTCGCCATGTGTGGCGTGGGGTGTGACCGGAAGTGACTGCAGACATGCGTTCTCCACTGCGCGTCGTCGTCAAAGGACTCATGGCAGTCCAACATATGGAAGAGACAGACATACGTGCGCTGCTCAATACTAGGCGCAGACAGGGACGGCGAGGCTGATAATACCGACGATGCAGCCGTCCCCCACGATGACAGAGAAACGCGCGACGGCGCAGACGGCTCTGCGCCACTGGCAGGAGTGGTGATCAACGGCGCCCTACCATCGTGCTCGAGGATATAAAAGTCTTCGTCGCGATCTTCATCGCCATCGCCATAGCCATCGTCATCTCCATGTTGATGTCGATGTCCACCAAACCCAACCCCAGAACCAGCAGTATCAACCGACGAAATCGACGGCGAAGGCGAACCACTAGACAACCCAGGCACAGGCAAAGGCGAAGAAGAAAGCAACACAACGCCCGCCTGGCGCTTATCAGGATCCCTACTTTCACTCATAGTATATCTCAGCGAGCCAGAGCGACGGGATCGGTGTCTATCCGAAGCAGCGGAAGTAGAAAAAGAGCGCAGATCAGCGTCGGGTCTTTGAGCGACATGCGGGCATTCAGGCGCGCGCTCCGACATGCTCCGCGGTGAAGAAGAAAGAGCAAGCGCAAACCCGAACAAATCCAAATCCAAAGCCAAAAGCGAAACCGAGAGATGGGATCGGGGCTCTTCGTCGCGCGGGGAATCACCGAGTCACTTCGCTGTGATCGCGTCAGAGATCGGGCCTGGGCTTACATAGTATGTGTAGGGAGGGGGGAGCTCATGGTATTCATGATCAACATCATGCTCAAGATCATGATCAAAGAGCAGATCAAGTTCGTGAGTGTGATTGTGAACATGAACATACTGACCCAGAGCCAAAAACATACATATACACCCGACGATATCACCAAGCACTTCTCTCGCCCTGTCTCTGAAATCGATGCAGCCCTGGAGATAACAGTCCAGTACTCAGATCTGCAACTTTTTTTCTCGGAAGAAAGTGTCAGCATGCATGACATCTACTAGGCAAGAAGCCGGCGTCGCCCGACCGTTCTGCGGCATACAGTGTGGGTACGAGGGGATAACTGTAGGTACCCTCTGCCAAGAAGAACCTCTCTTCTTTACTATTTCCCTCTCAGGCACTACATGTACATGTAGGAAATCGGGAGGCATCCATAGTGGGCTTGGTGGGGGTTTTCGATAGAATTTTCCAGAGTGTTTAGTTAAGTTACAGTGTAGGGTGTTGGTCGCGCTAAGCTAAACTTATTGGGCGGGGGTGTTTGGGGCTAAGTGGGTGTATGAGGTCGTTTATAGTATTGTTACGGTGTGATGTAGTTATGGTCGGGATTGATGTTGCGACTCTGGTTTATATACAGTAGTCTTCAGTCTTGTCCACTCTTATTCTCTATTCTTCAAGGTTCGAGATACGATGCACAGACCTGCGTAGTCGCACGTTCGGGTCCCCGCCAGGCTGCAGGGAACTTACACTATGAATCATATGGTTGAGTCTGCAGTACTTTTGGTCCCTTTTTGCATTCTCAATGGGAGTTGACTGTCCGGTCCCACATTGGACGAACGCTTGACTTGATTCTGAAACGAGTGGGACGACACTCACATTACGGAGTACATTTAGATGCCCTTGTACGCCCAGTCTACAGTGTGCAATATACCCCAGCAAGATACAAACAAATGTAATAAGAAACCACCTACAGTATAAAGACATCTAGAATCAACAAGTTGCGAGAAGAACCCGAACACGAGCGAATAGGCAGCTCTGGAGTACTTGAACACCACATGGGCAACATCATCCAGTGGAGATCAAAGCAGTTTATCCTACCTATCCTGTCTACAGAGAACACGTTGACCTAACCTTAAGTTACTAGGTAGCAAAATTGTACTTTAGAATCCCCAACAAAAACATAAAATCCCCACTATAAGCTGAAACAAGTACATGCACATGTATATCTCCATCTCCATCTTCTATGGATTCTTCAGATGCAGCTTGTGCATATCATATGTCAGGGAGATAGGCATGTGAATATGATATGAGCTGTGAGCTGAGCTGAGCTAGAGCTGTAAGGACCATGGTTCTAGACTATGCTGATCGAAACTAGAACGTGATATTGGATGCATGTGAAGGTACCTTTAGGCTCGATCTGGAGGGGTGATAGTGATGTTTAGAGTTAGATGGAGTTTGGAATTCCGTATTCCGTATTCCGTACCCCGGTTCAATGTATGTATAATGCCATTGTAGCCTAGGATGAGTTGATAGGAGATTCGGCATGTGTGACGTCCGATGTGGGATCACGGATATCACATGAAAATCGAGATAGAGCTACGTCAAGATAGAGAGACTACAGTAAAAGTAGAGTATTGTGAAGATTTCATTTTTCTCAACCATATGGCGAGTATTAAGTAGAAGTAAAAGAGCAACAGGTGTTGAGAAGGGAGTAGAGAGACCACAGGCCTCGAGAGAGGAGAATGACAAAAAGGTCGGATCCAGTAATTTTGAACTCGAAAAGAAAAGCCCCAGAGAGGAGGAAGCAACCAGAAAGTAGCAGAAGCAAAAGTAGAAAAAGAAACAGAAGAAAGATCCCAGGTCTATTTGGAGAGACGCCTCAGTTAAGAAAATCAAGAAAGCAAAACCATCCGACACCGTTTGATGCCCGCAAGCCAGAGTAAAAAATGCACAAGTCTATATCGTTTCGTAGCGCGCATAACAAAAGGCATAAAAGGGGTGCAGAGCAGAGACGAGATTAAAATCGGTCTGCCAGGTCGCCGCCCGCCACGGAGTTATTGGCGGAGGAGTTCACGGAGGAGAATCCGGCTGTGGGATTCAACATGTCCTGCACTGCGACCTTGGGAACCTGGGGGACGGGTAGCTTGCGCTGTGTGCCGTCAGGTTTTGACATGATGTCCGCAATGGTCGAGCCCATGTGTCCTTGGCTGGGGCTGTAGTAATTGGGGCCCTCGGCTTGGGGTTCCATGGGCGCGAGAGCGGGTGTGTGCTGGAGAGACAAATGGCGGATCGAAGGCAAGTGCAGCTCGCTGGCACCGAGAGGGCGCAGACGGGGCGAGTGTGCAGGGGTTGCCAAGGGAGTGTGGTCAGGAGTGGGGGACAGAGAGTCGTGAGAGAAAGTAGGAGAAGAGGGAGCAGTGGAGTTAGGCGAGTTGGGACGAGAACGCTTCACGCGGTGGCCATATCCATCGTCATCGTCGTTGGAATGCGACCGAGTCATGTTCTGGGAGATGGCGTAGGCAGAGAGCGAAGGGAGGCCACGGCCAGTGCCATGACGAGAGCCGAACATTTGGTGGCCGCGCGAGCCGTGGAATCCCATGTGGTCGTCACGCTCGACCTGCGAGGCGGCCGTGGCTAGAAGATTAATATCCATGCCGGACGAGGCACGCTCGGTGTTGCGCGAGTAGGGTCCCAAATTTGAGCGCATGTGGTTGGCGTAGTTGGAGAACGAGTGAGGTGGCGAGACGTCGGGTGATCCCACCTGCGACACGGGCGCGGAGCGAGTGATGGGCTTGCTGGGTGGAGGCATCATGTTGGCGGCGTTGACCATACCTGCATCCTGGTTTGCAGCAGCCGCAGCAGCCGCAGCCAAGTGCTGGGCCTTGTTACTGCGGCGCGAGTTGGGGTTGTTGTGGATACGCGAGTGACGGGTGAGTTCATCAGAGCGACTGAAGCGCTTTGTGCAGCCAGGGAACTGGCAGGCGTGGGGCTTCTCGCCGGTGTGCGTCCGGATGTGTCTTGTCTGATGCTCCAGGCGGTGGAAAGCACGGTCGCAAAGAGGGCACTTGTACGGCCGGGGAAGATCCTGGCGGACCTCCTCGGTTGCGGGACGAGCACCCTTCATGAGAGGCGGCAGAAGGCTTACAGAGGAAGCCATTGACGAGTTTGAGTCACCGGGAGTCGAGGGAGTTGAGTCTGACGAAGCGTCCGGGTTGAGAAGATTGGAAAATCCTAAATTGGCCGGTGGTGGCATGGAGAGGGACAGATCCCGGAGGTAGATGAAGATGAAGTTGAAGCTGACAGGGTGAAGGTGAAGGGCGAAAAGTGAAGGGAGAGAAGAATCCGGAGATGACGATCTGGGGAGCAGATGATATAAAGCCAAGGGTGAAATCGGAAGGGAGTGAAAAATTTAAAGAAAACCCCAAAAGGAGTGTGGGGGAAGACTGGGGCAAATTGGGAAAAAGAAAAAGAATAAAATCGGGAAAAATTAGGGGAAATTCAGAATTCAAAAATGAAAATGGAAAAAGAACGTAAAAAAAAGAAAGAAAAAAAAAAAAAAAAGGAAAAAACCAATCGGTAGATCATCTTTCCCGGAGTCACCGTCACCCACAGTATACACTGCCATCTATACACTGATTTTTACTCTACTCTACGTTCCCTTAGGTTCACACTCTCGATATTTAATATATTCAATATGTGTTAATGTGGCTCCCGAAACAGGAGGGGAGAATAAAATAAAATAAAATAGGATTAAATTAAAAGACACTACGTAAGGAATGTGGAGTTGATCTGAAGAACCGTGTGGCGTGAGTGCGTGTCCCTACATCCGGCTATCGCGGGTTCCCTTATTGTCTGATCAAATCCAGACCCGATGTATATTATGGGATCATCGATGATGTCTATGATTCCATTTACCCCGTATTTAATAGTAAATCACCCGAGATGTACCCGTGATAATAATAATAATAATAATAATATATGATATATAACCTGGATCCCCTACAAAAGTAGATAGATAAAAGCTGATGAACGCTGATAGGCGCGGATCGTCCAATTATTGATAGCCCTGCAGCCACACAGCCGCAAATTCGCGTATCTCGAGGGATTCCTGGTCCAGATGTGAAGCGGTATGGAGATGTGATATGAACGGAGTATGGGGTCGGGGGCCTGTTTTCTTTCCTTTTTCTGAATCGAGATTCCCACGAGCCTGTCCTCTGTCGTTCCATATTTTCCTATTTCCGTAACATAGACAACACAAGTTCCCCCGAGGCACGGAGGTCCCCCGTCTAGCGATCATCCGAAGTGGGGACCCCAGGGGGTCCCCAGGAGCCAAGGCCAAGGGTGTCGCGCCATCGGGATAACGGGATAAAGAAAGATACGCCCACTCGGCAAGGGAAGATGACTCCCCATGTGCTGGGGCTGGGGTATATGGTTGGACGATAACAAGGGGAATGGGGCATGGGGAATGGGGAAAGGCGTGGGATGACCTTATCTCGTATAAAAGGGTATACGGGTTAATTCCATATTCAATATTCAATATTCAGTACGGAGTATTCAGCTCTACGGGGTACTGTATGATAAGTTCGAAATGGCCACATCGCTTGATCCTTGATCCTGCATACAGGGGCCCTCTTAGTGGCAGATCATAAGCATGAAATGGGAGCCGATCCCAGTCAGCAAACGAAGCCCCGGTCTAGGTGGGTAACAGAACAAAAAAACAATGTCATGTCGGGCCGGCTGATAAAAGCGGAATATATCCCCAGGAAATGCACGAATCCCGGGCTCTAAATTGGGTTATATACATACTACTGTGTGCTACTGTACGGAATATAGCCATCTCTCCACGGGGAATGGCGCAATTGGGGAACCTCCGGATTCGGAGATCTCCAGGAAGCAGGTACCAATTACCCGCTTTTTGCCGATACATTGTACTTTGGCGATGTTATTGGCATATATGTATATGTAGGCATGAAACTACGGTGTTTCAGTTTCAGGTGACGAGTTCACGTCTCTGCTGACATGATAGAGCTGAAAACTATCAAATCGGAATTCAACTTCCGTCATACATTTCCCCGAGAATGCTCGTCCTACTTTCCCTTGAAGATCCTCACTCCACTATGGAGTATACCACCATACTATCGCCCCTAGGACGCGGGGGCACACCGGGCTATTGTTCCCATAAAAGAAGCCCATTTTCTGGGCGATAGCCGGCCGATATACCCGACAGTGGCGATCTTTACGTTAACACTTCCTTCACACACTGGCGTCGTCTACCCCGCAATCCCCGATCTGCAGAGCGTATCGCTGACCTTGATCGTCATGATCGCTATCTCCAGGTCAATCCCGATGTCGCTGGATCCTCCGTCACGCCATTCGGGGAAGTATACCATATGCAGCACTGCAGAATTTTCAGATAAACCGCTAGGTCTTGGCTCCGCGTATCGCGGTCCGCTTTACATTCCACTTATTGGAAATGGGGTTGTTGATCATGCTCCGGTATGCAGGCTGTCGATCTTGACAAAGAGGCCGGGGGAAGCCTGTAATCAAGGCAAAGATACGAAAAGGGAAGTAGTACATTGTACACGTAAAAATGAATAAAAGTGAAGAAAATGGAGACCCCGGACTCTGTTATCAGTCCGGAGCCGCTGGCCTAACTATATCCCCGCACCCCAGATCAAGGGTATAACGTTTTCTCTTCACATACTGTGCGGTGTTGCCCCTTGCGATTCGTTATGTCATGACGTGCTCAGCGCCTCAAATAGAAAGACATCGAAAGATTAAGAAAAGGATCGGCCAATTCTCGCTCCGTTTCCAATTGCCCTGCGCCCCTATCAAGAATAGGAAAAAGGAAGTGAAACCTGCTCCTACAGGGCGCCACTAGGCAACCAGAATAAATCCAAAAGATAACACCTTCAGTATGATTTGAGATACACTTTCGTCTACGTAACATTGACATTATCCTTCTCCTTCCCTAGGTTGGTACAGTATGATCTTGGTGTAAAGGTGACATCTAATCAGGCTTGGCGTTGCCTCGATGCGGGGGGGCAAGAGAAATCTGGGGTAGGGGATTAGGGTAAAGTAGGCGCCAATTTCCTTCGGAATGGGGATTTGTTCGGGTCCAGTTACTCTATCCAGTACGGAGTACGGATTAAAAAAAAAGTAGGGTGGGAGATAGGCGGGGTGAAGGTGTAGATTTACGTTTACGTTTACGTTAAATGTTTCGCAGGGAATGTGTAAAGTGTAACCCCAACTTTCTCTCCAGTGCTCGCTCTCGTATGTGATTACCTAAGATATACCGGGCCGGGATAAATTCGTATCACCACTCACCTCTTAACTATATCCACGCCCGCCAAGAGAGATCCGCACTCCACAGCTTCTGGAACAATCTTGCGCCAATAATGGCTTGGGATTGCCTCACACTGATATCATTGATGGATGCGGGGCCGTCATTCCGGAGTCTGAGGCTATTGGTGGGATTAGGACTTTTGGTTCGGCGAGAATTCATCCTATCTTGAGGAGGCATGTGATATTCTGGGGGGAGATAGGGACTATAGACCAGGTGTTCACTTTATTATGGTGATCTGTGGTCTGTGATACTGTGTACAAGGGGGAAGGAGGAGGAGATACGTGTCCAGTTCTCGGTGAAGCGTAACTTTCATGAAAAAAAATTTTTTTTTTACCTGTTCCCACTTTGAGTGATTTATTACTGTTTTTGGATCCCCATACTCTGCACTCTCCAATCTACGGAGTACTGTGCTACGGAATCATTTTCGATCTACATGTTCCACTCACATGTAGATAGTCAGGTACCGTAGATCAGTGTGACCAGGGGGGTGAATCTAGACCAAGTCAGCTGTAGTACAATGTACATTTACATGCAAGTCAACTATAAGTTATCTCGAACTAAATACAAACCCATCCATTCATCCATTCAGTTCAAGACAGTAAATTCAGGGGGGTAATCCATTTTCCCCCCGGTTCACCCGGCCCCAATAACCCCGGAACAAAAAGCTCAGAGAAGCCAAAGCCAGCACTCACGGGAACAATCAACCCGAATCAACAGACTCAAGCACGTGTCCCCAGATTACCCCTTCCCCCTCCTTCCCCCTCACAAAAGGGAAAAAAAGCCAGTAAAAGAAACCGGGCACAAAGGCACTAGACTACGGAAATGCCGGAGTCCGCAGCCTATAAGTTCCCAAACAGGCCATTAGGCGGGAGAGCTCCACGGGCTAAAATGATAGCTTGCGAGAGGTCGTTTCACATGTTCAGTGTTAGTGTTAGTGTTAGTGTCAGTTCCTCTTCTCACATGCACATGCGCTTATCATCCCACCAGGGAGGAGGGGACTCGAGTTCGGATTTGGGTTTGGTGGCTGTGGCTATACAGTAGCTTCAGGTACTAGGTCGGGGCTACGGCTAGCGGATGGGATGCGCCCATTCCTACGTGATAGTACAGGTAGTAGCGCCGAGGTATGGTCCCATGCACCCGCATTTGTCCATGTAGTGTACTGTAGTGTAGATTGTACTGTAAGTTATTGTATATTAGACAGTAATGTAGATTTTACTGTGCATGGGGGACATTGCGTCATGCGCTCATATGGTTTCTCCAGATTGGGGAATGGTGATAAGAGATATCTAGAAAGGACGCCATACGCGCTTATATTGCTAGCCTATATGTAAGTTAACTTATGTGTCCATGTACTTGTACATGTACTGCACACTGAAGACTGTGAGATGACGACACAACCTACAGCTTAACATCTAGACCATTCTCCTGCAGGTACGGATGGATATACACACTTCTCTGTTCGCGTCAGCCCATAGGGCTGGAGTAAGGAAAGAGAGAGATACATCGGGTGAACCCGGAACAGTCAGATTGTACCATTATCACACCTACTTGCGAGAGGCAGCTGGACCGGGTAGCGGGGCTTAGTGTCGATACTATGGATCCATGATGATCTAGGGGGCTTTTGCTTAGGATGAGTCAGGAAGGTGGCATGGAGGGGAAATTTCGGGAGGGTCTTGGCTTTTTGCCTTTTAAGGGGCAGACTAGGCGCTATTCTCGTCTATACGGAGTAGCAATTCAAGGAACGAAGAGTTTTCACGGGGTAAGTACTGTACAGAGTAACAGGAGTCGAAAAAGGGGGTTTCGGTGAAGAGGAAAGAGCGGGAGTCTTCCGGGGGCGTTTTTTTGCGTCTTTTTTTTATCCAAGTTTTTTTTGCGCTTTCCCCCTTGCCCCTCCAGCGTTGCCGTGTCCGGAGCCGCGCCGAGTGGTATCGGCGAAATGGCTCTCGGCATCGCCGTGCCGAGGGTCGGATTGGTCGTGGTGCTGTGTCGGCTTCTCTTTGGTCTCTGTATTCGGGTTGTTTCCCCCATGTTGGAGGCACGTTTTCCTATGGGCCCGGCTGTATGGATTTGTACGAAAATTTCTTTGTATAGAAATCCCTTAGTCCGAGATTCCTCCGAGGTTCGGAATTGGCCTGTCCGGGGTGAAAGTGGTGTGGTCGGATGTTCCCTTCTAGTCTATGCAAGTGATCCCCTAGACCAAGGCACGTTCGTCCTTGTCGCAGGCTACTAATGCTTGTGTGCCTTGTACCTCGGGATACTTCCCTCATCCTGATCTTCGGGATTTATTAGGTAAAGAAGAGGATGTTTTCGCGTACTTTACTCCGCATGTAGCGGTGAAGCCATGTGGAGTCCCGAGTCGTGGAGATCAGATAAAATTGGAATTGGCTATCGGGTGAGAATGGCCAGAGTTGGAGTTGCCCAGGTGGACGGAAGAGATATTAGCAGCTGGTTTGTCTGACTTGTCCGGTTTGCTGTGTTTGGCATCTATGACATGTTTGTTGTGTTTGCTGTGTTTGCTCAGTTTGCCCGTTGGAGTATGAGGCTCAACGTAAAGATGCATCAGCCTCACGCAGTCACGCAACAGACAAAAGGCATTGAAACTCGCTAGACAGAGACCAAAACATGCACGTATTAACACAGTCCTCTCTCTATCAATCCACACCCAACCCACTAACATAGACACCGATATCTCCCAAACCTCAGGCACAACCTCGGAAGCGGAAATGACGTTTCTGCCATGTCCGGCCGCCTGGAGAAACGAGAATCTCAAGTGTCAAGTCAGAGCTAACAAGCCCATCCACCCAATCTGACACTATACAGCGAGTCCCTACATGATTCACTCCCATCTCCAACCCTCCCACCACTCTCCCAACCATTAACTACAACCCCTCTTCCAATAACCTTCCAACCTCGAGCTCCGGCACGCAATGGCTCCCCCGCGCCAGCGCACCACGGCTATAGTCGACGACTCGAGGTCCGAAGCCTCCAGCGGCACGAGAGAATACAAGAATCCCCCCAAGAGCCGTAGACCGGCAGCAGCAGCCAAGGATAAGGCTTCTGTGACTAGCGCGCCGGTCGATCAGATCGTGGATGATCAGCCTAGGGTATGTCGCCTCCGTCTCTGTCTCAATCGCTCCTTAACCACAACCCACAAAACCAAGAATCAACAACCAAAAACCTTTGACTGTGATCTAACACTACAATCTTAGCTTCCCTGGTCCGACCTCCCCCTCGAAATCCTCCACTCATACCGCCACGTCCACAAACTGCCCACCCCAAGCGCCTTCGCAAGCGACTACTCGCGCACCATCCTTTCACAGGGTATCGGTCTCCGCTCGCCGACTTCCCTCGCTGCCCGCCGCGCTCAATCGTCCTCCTCTTCTTCCCACAATCACAACCATACCCACAACCACAGCCATAGCCACCGGCAAGGCCGCAATGGCGAGTCTGCTGACTCGCTGCGTCGCATTGTCGGTCAGGATCGTGTGAGCAAGGATCAGTTTGCGCTGGTTGTTCGTAGACACTTTAATAGTGCTGGTTTGTCGGAGCAGGAGACTATTGCGCGTTTCTTGTATACTGTGCGTGAAGAAAGGAGGGGGAGGCAGTTTCGGTTGCGGTTTCAGCCGTAGACCGGGCTTTTTTCCGGTTCGGATGAGGATGACCATTCGGATGAGGATGGATTGAGTCCTTTACTTTGGTTTGATTCTTGTTGTCGGGGTTGGGAGTTAGGCTGGGATCTTGTCTTGCTTTTGTCGGGACTTGATTTTTTGGGCTGGCTGTCTGGTGCTTCGCCATCCTGGTTGATGGTGTACTGGATATACTTTCGGCTTGCTCTTGAGGCGACGATCTATCTTTCCTTTCCCTTCCCCTTTCTTGTTCTTATATTAAGATACCCATTGGCGTTTGGTGTGTTTCGTTGGTTGGTTCGTTCCCTCATCTTACTATGTACACTTTTGCATATCATATAATCCGTGTTTGAGACACTGCCATAGCTTATATTATATCGTTATTATATCTTTTTGGCGATTCGGTTCTTTCCCTTCTACTCTTCTTCCTTGTGGGTAACTTTTACTACCTGCCTGTTTAATGTAGGCAAAGAGGTGAAGTCCGTTCGTCGAGAATATATCCCGACCTGTCATCTTCATCTAACACAAGTTTACAGTAACCAAAAACCGCCACTATGATCAAAACCGAATAACAGTCAATAAAAATTAATATCTAAACTATGACATCAAGCCAGGAATATCACTGCATTGATGGGTACCTGGCCTAGACTTACAGCAACGAAACCTTAAATCAAAGAGCCCATAGAAATGATATTCACACCTACTGAATAGTATATATTTCATTCATCATGTACATAACAGCATGAAATCTCCCCTCTAACAGGAAAGAAGAAAATCAAAAAAGCGACAGAAACATCCGATTCGGAAGAAAAGGGACACAAGAGCCCCCAGACCGAACCGAAGGTCTTCAACGTCAATAGGTAAACAAGTGAGAGTCCGCGGAATAACAAGAGATAAAGTTAAAAGGGATCAAACGCCGAGATGTATGCCTTCCTCCCATTGGTCCGTTTTGACTTGATCCGATCCATCCTATCCAATCTAATCCATGATAATGAGGACCATGCCCTGGCAGTAAAGTAAGATAGTACTGTACTTATTTCCAGGCGTTCAGACCAGCCCATGGATCACCTCCGGTATCGGGCTGTGGCTGGGACTGCGAGGGAGCCTTGTGTTGGCCGTATGGTCTAGCCTGTGCATAGCCACCTGGACCAGACGGGTAGGAACTGCCAGAGGAGGGAGGGTAAGAAGTCTGCTGGGGACGCGGAGGAGGCGGGGGCGGGATGTAGCCATGAGGCGCCATGTAGTGCGAGGGCTGGGCGCCAGCAGTGGGAGGGACGGGCGTGCTGGAATTGGAGTAGCCCCCGTATGGGACGGGGGTTTGGGAGAAGAATTGCTGGTTTGGGGGTGGGGACACGGGGGTCTGATAGGGGTATGCCATGGGGTTGTAGCCTTCGGATAGTGGGGCTGCTGCGCCTTGCTGGAAGTGCTGGGCTGGTTGGTAAGAGGCTCCCTGGCTGCTCATGTATTGCCCGTAGGGTGCGGGCGAGTGAGAGAGGGGCCCGCCGTGCTGTTGCGTGGGTGGGTAGCGGGGTGACATCTTTGGGGAGGGTCCCGTTCCATAGACTGGGGTTTGCACAGGTGGAGGCGGTGATTTGACCTTGGAAGGAGGTCCCGATGCTGCGGATGGTGAAGTTGATGAGGTCTTGGGCTCCGTGGATAGACGTTCCATCAGCTGGCGCAGTTTCTCTCTTTCGCGCTCTTCTTGCTCGGAGACTCCGCCGGCCTTGTCGCGTTCGATCTGGCTTAGAAGCTGGGCGCCTTCTGACCGGCGGTTGTTGAGGAAAGTCTCGACATTCTTGCGAAGGCTGTCCACGTTTTCGGTCATCTCCTTGTAGAAGGTTCGTGCTTGAGCAATGCCCGACGAAAGACCATTGTAAGCTTCGTACACCTTCTTGTATCGAGCCATCACGGAGTTGCGCTGCCGCGTTATAGACTCATACTTCGACTGCTCTCCTTGGACTCGCTTGTCCTGGAGGAGATCACCGTAAATCTTGGTAAGTTCCTTCATTAAAGAAGATTGCTTGTGGTTCGCCTGAAGAAGTCGGTTCTGATGTGGCCGGAACTTTTCGAGCTCGGCATCGAAGAGTTGGCTCTCCTGCCCAGTAATCGACTTCTTATTTAGGATGAGAACGTTCGAAATATCATCAGTGTGAACCTGGCGAGACAGTCAGAAAATAGTTGGGAATGGATACGCTGGAATGCTCACCTTATCTTTCAGATCCTTAAGGACTTGGGACCGCTCTCGCTTTACGAGGTTTAATTTCTTCAGAATCTCTTCCACCTTGGCAATCTGTTCAGCAACAGAGGCACCGCCTTCATCATACACGTCATCCAGGAGACTACCTTCTGCTGGACTAGTGACACCATTCTTGCCCTTGCTATGTTTCGAACCAGCCTTGATCAAGCCTCGCTGGAAGAGCACATCGGCCTCATCTGTTTCTCCCGCAGACCGCATCTCATCGAAATCGGTCTCGTATTGACGCAAAGTCGAAGAAAGCTGCGAATCACTGGCGCTGGCTTCATTGATTGTATCCCGATATGTACGGACATCCCCGCGGAGGGTGGTATTCAGTCGAGCGCTGGGCTGCTGGCTCCAATCGGCCCCATACTTGGACCGCATCTTCTCACATACGCTTTCCTCCAGGTCAAGCTGCTTGGAGCACTGGTCCAATTGCGATAGCACTTCAGCCTTGCGATCTTGTAGATCGTCAAATGCTCTGTGAAATGGCTTGTGACCAGCGAGCTCTGAGCACCAGCGGCGGAACTCCTCGTCTACTGACATTTCCTGGTTCATGCCTCCCTTTAAGATATTGAGGCTCCCAGGTAACTTCAAATAGTCCAGGCTAGCGGCCATCTCGCCATTGGCGGTTTCGACCTTTTCTGTTTCGGCACGAATCAATTTGGCCTTTTCTTCATCATACAGACTGGCAGTTTCAGTGACAGACATAGGCACCAGCTTCTGGAAGATGTCGGGCCCAATGATTCGCTGGATATCCTGCCCTTGATACAATTCGCTGACAGGAATGGCTTTGGCCGCAGGAAGCTTCGCAACTGCTGAGAGACCAGCCTCATTTGGAACCGGCTGGTGATAGATGAAGTCATTGTCCTTGACCATAGTGGAAAGCTGGGCCTGCACGTTTGTTTGATTATGCTTGATGAGGTCCACCAGAGCGGGTCCTGACTCCGCTGTCAAATTGGAGGTCACCGGAGCTGTAGAGGGGAATGACTTTGCCCAACTCAGAGCAGTGGCAGATTGCTTCTCAGCCATCTGAAGACGAGCAATCGCAACTCCATGTGACCCGCTCTCGCTGTCCGCAACCGCCTGATAGTAGGACGCAACTGATCCCATGTGCGCAGCCTTGGCCTGTACGACAATGGACCACACCTTGTCGAACACGTTCTTGCCGACAAAGTCTTGCATGGTTTCCGCTCCCTGTGAGTAGAGGTATGCTGCCTGTCCAGCCAATTTAGCCAAGAATCCAGGCTTCTTCCCGTCTGCCACCTGCTTCTCGAAGAACACCTCTTGGGCTTGGGCAAGCGTGACATGGATCAATGTTTTGACGGTGTCCCGATTAAGGTCGGTCGACGGCGCATGCAAGAAATTCTCATTTATGTAGGTAAACATTCCGGCAGAAGCTTGGAAGGAATGGTAAGCAGTCTTCACGCCAGTATCGTCGGCCCGGTTCTGGTTGGCGGCATGGCAGGACAGGACAGCGGAGATATTGAAGATAATGGATGCCTTCTCGTAGGCCAGGGAGTACTGAGACGTAGGTTTGTGAGTGAAAGCATCGTACCTAGCAGATAAAGTTGTCAGCGCAATCATATATGTAGGAGGGGAAACGCCCTACCATGTGAACGAGATCTTGATGTGGTTCTCATCGACGGGAAACCTGAGGTCCAACAGCTCCAGTTGACCATAATACCGGTACAACAGATCGCGACCGGTAGCGCTGTCCTTCCCTGCACCTCTCATATCCTGGCGAAGCCGGTTGAGAGTCACACATTCTTGACTGTATCGTTCAGGGTCCTCGCCATATGTCTCTCGGATGTAATCCTTGAGGGGCTGGATCCAATCGATCTCGTTGGTCTGCTTCAGCGGACACGAAAGCATCGGTGACTGAACCATTGTCGGATGGTTGTCAGGAGCGATGTGCTCCCATCCAACTAACTAAAATCTGTAAGAGAGAAAACGCGAGGGCAAGGGGGGGTCTAAAGCTCCGTGTCTGAGGGGGTCGGAGTCGAGGCTGTGGGGTAAGGAAGACGGAAAGTCGGCGCCTGATGGATCCTGTTTGAATGACGTCGATTGGTCTTCAGTCTCTGAAGAGTATCTGAAGGTACATGAAATGAGAAGATTGTAAAAGAACAGGGTTGCCTGGAATGTTGGAGGAGAGGAAGGTGGGATGTGATATCCGTGTCTTGATGGGCGGCAAGCAAGTCACCATACACATCTACCTCATCTATACTCTAAACATCACAACACAACGTCTACCGTTTACAAAGCATGTTAACCTATTACAGTGGAGAGGAGAGCTTCATAACCACCTAACACTTGATAATAATACAGTATTCTGCCCCAAGACCCCCTAAAGCAGAACAGGTCCCCAATATCGCCGGCGCTATGACATGGGTGAGGTAAATACAAACGGATATAGAGTACATGATTTACATATTCAGCTCGATTTCTTCGAGTCGTCCTTGGCATCAGTCTTGCCATCCTTGCTCTTGGTGTCTTTGTCCTTGGTATCCTTCTTTTTGGCCTCATAGTTCTCGCCTGTAAGTCGGTGCCAGACAGACTTCAGGAAGCCTTCGTTTTCGGAACTCGATGAGGAGCTGGCAGAGGTCAGTAAAGGTGAACGTTGCATAGATAAATTGTGTCTTACCTCTCCTTATCGGTGCTGAAGTTCATTGTCCGCTTCGCAGTCTTATCGTTCATCTCATCTGCAAGGACTTCCAGGATGGTTCGCTGGTTGCCGGTCAAGTACTTCGGCATTGCTACCTTAAAC